TGAAACGAGATTGGGAGGGAGACAAACCATAAGTGACTCTTAATCTCACAAAACAAACTGAGGGTTGCTGGGGGGAGTGGGGGAGGGAGAAGGGGGTGGGGTTATGGACATTGGGGAGGGTATGTGCTATGGTGAGTGCTGTGAGGTGTGTACACTTGGTGATTCACAGACCTGTACCCCTGGGGATAAAAATATATTATATGTTTATGTAAAAAAAATCAGTCTTTTTCTTGTGGACTGATAATTAACTCTGTTATAACTTTCTTTCCTCCAGCTCTCTCACTCTGTCTGTCTCTCCCTCTCTCTCCCCACCCCAGCTGAGCACAGGGTTTTAGATTCCTTCTCTTTCTGGTGCCATCCCAGGGTGAAGAAACTTCCTTCCTTCTGTGTGTGTGTGTGTGTGTGTGTGTGTGTGTGTGTGTTTTAATGCAGAAGGAACATACTAATTAAACTGGTCAGGGAGGACACTGGCATAGATACCTTGAGAAGTGCTAGCAATGCCATCATCAATTAAGGATGAAATGACATCTCATGAACATCCCTGTTCCCCTGCTGCTTTCCAGTGATAGATGTTTAAAGGAATAACTTGGATCAATAAAGTTTTTGCTTCAAATCTGTTCAAAAGTTAGAGAATTCTATGTGATGAGATTAGGGGAGATACCTCTTCGAATTTTTTGTTTTACCAATTCTTCATAATGAACATATGTTCCTTTTTATAATCAGAGGAAAGCTGTTTCAAAAGCAAGATAGTGTATAACCTCTTAAGATTTCTTTTTTTTTTTTAAAGATTTTATTTATTTATTTGACAGAGAGAGATCACAAGCAGGCAGAGAGGCAGGCAGAGAGAGAGGAGGAAGCAGGCTCCCTGCTGAGCAGAGAGCCCGACGCGGGGCTCGATCCCAGGACCCTGAGATCATGACCTGAGCCGAAGGCAGCGGCTTAACCCACTGAGCCACCCAGGCGCCCCCCCCCTTTTTTTTTTTAAGATTTTATTTATTTGACACAGAGAGAGAGACAGTGAGAGCAGGAACACAAGCAGGAGGAGTGGGAGAGGGAAAGCAGGCTCCCTGCTGAGCAGGGAGCCTGATGAAGGGCTTGAGCCCAGAACCCTGGGATCATGACCTGAGCCGAAAGGCAGATGCTTAACCATCTGAGCCACCCAGGTGCCTCAAGATTTTGTTTTAAAAAAGATTTTTATTCATTTATTTCTTTTAAAGAGAGAGAGAGAGAGAGACCATGAGACTGAGTAGGGGGAGGAGCAGAAGGGGGAGGGAGGGAGAGGGACAAGCAGACTCCCCGCTGAGCTCAGAGCCCGAGGGGGGCTTGATCCCAGGACCCTAAGATCATGACCTGAGTGGAAACCAAGAGTCAGATATTTAACTGACCGAGCCACCCAGGAGCTCCATAACTTTTTAAGATTTCTATGGAAAATCTGATATACAAGGAAATTGAAGCCATGTGAGGAGCTTGGACTGCTGAAACCCTCATCCCAATATGCTGATATTGTTAAAAAGATGAAAGGGTGATTAAAATTACAGTGTCGATGGGGAGAGCGGTGAGGGATGGAAAGATAACTCCTAGTTTTCCCGCCACATAATAGCACATGACAAGTAGAAAAGCCAGACTCCCGGAGTGATTTAAGCGTTTCTGCTGAAGCAAGAAAGCCCTTAGGATGGGTTTGCCAGAAAGATTTAGGCAAGCTGTACAAACCGCAAGAAGACCAAGGAAGGTGGAAAGAGAGATGTTTGGAAGAAAGCTGAAGAGAAGGCATTTCACTTCTATCTTGCAACAGTTACAGTGGGGCAAGATGGGAGTGTTAGAGTCCTTGAGTCTGAAAGGGATAAACAGCATTTGGCACAAGTTAGGGAATATTCATTATCAAAATAGACAGAATTTCCTAAAGGTCCCCGTTATGTTGGTGGAAGAGAATGAGCCACAGTGGGATTATAAAGTCACTTTCTTGTCCCTTGGGGCTGCACCTGCAAATGCTCTCTGTCTACTTCTTGCTTCCCACCCCTGGATGAAATTTCCAGTAGGACTCATCATTTCATAACTTTTCTCCTCACTCTTCAATCGTATCTAGTCACTTTTAGTCAGTAAAAGTTCTCATTTTGGTTACTAAATGTTTGGCGTGGTATAGCACTAAAACCCTTCCTCAAGTCTCCTCCCTCCCCAGGTCAGACCTGCCATGGAGGGGGAACCCTACCTGGTGAATCTTTTCTCTCCTTCGTTGCTTCTCTTTCCTACCACTCTGCCATCCTTGGAATCTGACCCTCCTCACCTTCCTCTCATCCTCCATCAAAATGTGGGCTGGAGCAAAGCCTGTTTCCAGTAGCTTCTTTCCAGGTAGTTATCTGGCTTGTTTTTTTTTTAAAAATTACTCCTAAAAGAACAGCTCGTACACGGAGTATCTTCAGGGATTTTCATTTGGGGAAAGGTGTGTGTGTAGGGGGGACATTCACTCAGCAGAGGCAATTGTCTTTTCAACATCTGGGACTGAATGTCCCACTTCTAGAAGGGGGTTTGCAAGGCTTTTAAATGAGAACTCCCCAGAGAGGGGCTTGGGACCACCGACGCTGGTAAACGACAGCTTCCTGCCCCACCTCCCCTGTCTTGCTTTCTGCTGTATATTCCAGTTCCCCCCGGGAAAAGCTTTCTGGTATGCTGACTCACTGTCACGCTGCATGGCTCACGTGCTGATGCCGGAGCCCCTGGCCTTGCCGTGGAGGGGCAGTTGCACTAGGCAGGCAATGCTGCTGCACTTGCAAAAATTATGGGGTGCAGGGGCTGGGGGGAATGGTGTGAGGAGGGATTATCCTGGGGGCAGCTCCTCTCATAGTGGTGTCCCCCAGGCGAAGGCATGCAAGGATTGAAGAACCCCATCTCCCTAAGCCACCATTTCCTTAGCCAACACACTTCTGCGAGACCGTCAGTGCATTTTGACCCAATCCGCGTTTTCTCTTTGTGTCCACACACTCATCAAGAAAACCTGTCTACTGCCTTGCTCACCGCTCAGGCCGCTCTTTTTGTTGAGAGTGCAGGCTGCCCGTCTGGGGCTACAGATCTCTATGAATCCACAAGTTCCAATTCCCATGCCAATTTCACAACCAGTGGTCACTAAAACATCACCGGCTGTCCTGTGTGGGCTGTCAAAAGTTATTTGACATAAAAATAGTATGTTCATCTTGAAATCACTGATTTAGGCCCGGTGGGACTCAAACCCAAGTCCGAGAATGGTATGTCATTGGAATCAGCTGGGGAGCTATTTTTAAATCCCCACTGGAGGTCTTAGTTTATATGAAGGCCCGTGAACGGTTCTGATGTGCCAAGGTTGGGGACCGTTGAAAAGTATTTCCCAGTGGATCAATCTGGCAACTCCTGGAAAAAGCCAATGAGTAGTCATGGCTCCAACAGATGTTGGCGAGACATGCACAAGACAAGGAGGTGGTACCCCAGATCATATGACAGGATGGTATATCTTGTGGTTTCTTCCTTATTGGCTTACTGAGGCCAGACACTGTTCCAAACAGGGTAAGGGCGTGGGTGTGGAATAAGGATGGAGTGAACCTCATAGCATGGGGAAGACAGGTAAACAGGGTAAATATGCTTTAACACAAGCTCTCTGGGTACCTCTAGGCGCTACGGAGTAAGAAGGTGGATACAGTAGATGGACTGGCCAGATCTGCTTGAGGTCATCCAGTAAGCTACACAAAATTGGGGACCACTGCAATTGCATCCCTTGGAATCAGCTGGACAAGAGACAGGGCAGAACGTCTAGGGTTGGAAACAACATTGGGAAAGAACGGAGATGAGACTGAATATAGCCCAATGTTCCACAAACTGTAAATGCTTGCCATTTACAAGCATTTGGGGTGGGGACAGGATAGGAGGAGCTTAATGGCCAGAGCGATGGCAGGAAGTCTGGCAAGGGGCCAGCTCCTTAGGAGGCCTGCATGCTAAGTACTTTTTGGGAATTTATTCTATGGAAATGGAAGGCTGCTGAGAAATTTAATCAAAGAAGTGACCCGAGGGAGCAATCTCCTGTTGAACCAGTGAGTGGGGCACCAGCAGAGGCAGGGTGGGGGTTGGGGGCTCTTAGGATAATCCCGGTGGGAGTTTCTGCAGCCATTGGATCTGAGTTGAAGTGGCTGATGGGATGACCTTGGGGAGGTCGGGGAGGATGGGGGCTGAGCCATATGAAATGACTTCCCAGCTCCGCTCTCGGTGGATGCGGGCAGTAGCCCTTTCCCACACCGCAGCAGTACAGGAGGATCACCACACTGGGTGCGGACGGTGAAGACTCTAGAAACAAGCAGTTGAAGGGAAATGGAATCTGAGAGCAGCGGCCAGGTAAATGGGAGCGGAAATAGGAGAATGAGAGTCACAGACACCCAGGAAGCTGAACATTTCCAGGAGGGAGTCTTGAAAGGAGTCCACAGTAGGACCCGAGTTGAAAGCTCTCAATTGCTTTCGGCCTCAGGCAAGCCCGAGGTACCTTTCGCAGAGACCCTGGGCTGCCAAGGGGCCTGGCAAGCCGGCAGGGAGGAGGTGGGCTCAAGGAAGACCAGGATAGATATAATTCCACAGGCGCTCGGACAGGGTGGACACCTGGCTTCCGGGTTCCGGAGGAGAGACTTGAGCGGGCTTTAGTTTGCAATGTATTAGAAATGTTTTCTGAAGCTATAATTGGGTTTATTTCTCCGCCTAAATTTTGATTACAATGGTGAATAGGGACTATAAATTATCATAAAAAGAGTTACACTGACAAGGAAGAAAATATTGCCCGGCGCACTTGCAAAAATACACCCATTTGGAGGTCAGAAGGAGGGGGCGGAGGGCCACCGAGTCCGGGGGTCCGCTGATCCTGCCCCACACCCACCTCGCCCGCCGGCTCCCTGGGGCTTTCGGGCTCCTCCGCCCTCCGGGGGGCGTGGCCACCTGCAGCCCCGCCCCGCCGCCCGCGGCCACGTGACCTGTCAGTTTGCGGAGAGGGACGAAAATGGCCGCCGGGTTTGGTGAGGGCGAAGCGCTGGAAGCCGCCGCCTCTCCCATTCCCGTCTTCTGACGGCGCCTGCGGCAGAGCAGGCCCTTTCCGTTCGAGCTGTGGGCGCGGTCCTCAGGCCGGACTGTGAGACGGTCAGTGCGATGGTCGGCTCCGCGGCAGGACGGGCAGAGGAGGTGGGGGCGAGGCCCCGCGGGGAGGGGGCGAGGCCCGGTGCGGCGGACCGCGGCCTGGTGAGGAGGGGACGAGGCCGGGTGTGGGGGTCCGCGGTCTGGTGAGGGGGTGGGTGGGGAGGGGGCGAGGCCGCGTCCGGAGTGGGAGGGGGTGAGGCCCGGTGTGGCAGGGCCGCGGCCGGCGGGGGAGGGGGCGAGGCCGGGTGTGGGGTCCGCGGCTGGGCGCCCGGGGAGCTCGAGGTCTGGCTTTCCCCGGGAGCCCGCGCTAGCTGGAGCGCGGCGAAGGTCTCGCACTTGGTGTCTCGGGTGGTCAGTCTGGCAGCCCGCGGAGAGGTGCTTGTCTGGGGCAGGGGGGGAGGGAGCATGGGGGAGGGGCCTTAGTGAAACTGTTTTCTTTTGTGCAGCAGCCGCTGGCACACCTTCGAGTCTCGGGACCCGCCTTAGCTGGTACCGTTAAGGCAGGTGTTCAGGCTTCTTTCTCCGGGCTTCCGAGGGCCAGGTGGTTCGTTTTCTTCCTTTGCTTTCTTATCGGGCTTCCTTCCTCCGTTGTCCTGTGCAGGCCTTTGAGTGCCTGGAAAAACAGCAGCAAGGCGTTGATTGCGATGCTTCCATGATTTACTTAGAGGGAAACGATTTCTTTGTCCGCCAGCAATATTGGATTATTTTTCTTTCAAGTTGTTTTGACATAGAGAAAGCTTTAAACCAATGAAGAACGTTTTCTTGTTAATAACTGTTGATGGATCCATCTCTGCCAGCCGCTAGGGGCGCCGGCTAAAAATGCAGTTTTCCGAGCCTTACCTTCAGAAATCGCTGTTCAGCTGGCCGGGGTGTGGCTCTGGAGTCACGCCTTCCGATTCCACCGGGCGATTCTGATGTTTTGTCATTGCCCACACTTTGACAACACTGAGGACTGAACATCTAAAAATGTTTAAAGCACCTTCGAGAGCTGATGGAGAGCCAAGGGGGAGAAGTGGCTGCGGCCGCGGAGTGTTCTTTGTTCTCTAGCTTTAGTCGCATGAAGACTGGTCATCAGAATCATTTTGGGCTGCTTGTTAAAATGTCAATTCTGGGCCCATCCCAGATCTACCGGGTGGGATTCTTTCGGGTAGAAGCCAAGGAATATTTGTATTTGACAGACTTGCCGAGTAGCTCTGGTGTACACAAGTTTGAGAATCCTCATTCTGCGTTCTTTGTGTGAATGATATCCAGATGGTTTTTACAAATACTGGTGGATTAACCAACCCATCCTTTTTGGAGCACGTCAAATTCAGCCTGGCCAAAGCACCCCATAGCCAGAGTAGGGAGGTGGTAGGGGGCCATGACCCTGCAGAAAAAAGTCCTCACTTCCTCCTAACTTGCCTTTTGGTTAATGGGTACAACCCTCCTCCAGTCACTGATGTGTGGCATCTAGTCATCCTTGACTTTTTTTTTTTTTAATCTCCAGTCACATAGTTTCTTTGATTTTACATCCAGAATCTCTCTTCTGGGTATTTTGATAGGTTAAAAGGTCAAATATGGGGGATTTTATATTGTTCAAGCTCATATCTCTCATTTCTTCTTCATTTCCTGTGGGTTATTTTGGTGGTTCCCTGACTGGTGTCCAGAGTTCTAATTTTTCTTTCCTGGGCTACATACACTGCTGAGAGATTAACTTTCCTAGAATCATGCCAGTGTGCCATCTCCCTCTTCCTGCTTTTGCTCAAAAACTGTCAGTTTCTCAGCTTTATCTGCCGTATATTAGTCAGGGCTGTTTGGAAGGTACGGAACAGAGACTTACTCTTTTACCTCAGGGAAAAGGAGATTTATGGGACTTAATGAGAATCAGCAAGAAATCAGGATCCAAGGCAGCTTCACCTTCTGCCTCTCTCTCAGGGGCTGCATTTGTTTTCTTACGCCTCTATTCATATCTGTTAGGTTCTCTCTGCCGACTGGTTATCTCAGAACTGTATCATTTGGCACATGGCCCATAATGACTGAGTCTTTGGTTTCTGATTCCCAGTTCTGAAGAGAGGAATCTCATTGGCCCGGCTTATGTTTTTGAGCACTCATGTGTCCCAGATCATGTGCCCATCCCTGATAATGGCTGATGGTAGAAAACAGGGCTGTCGAGGGTAGCAGAGCCTGTGGGCAGGCAAAGACCTATGGAAGAGGCACGTTTAGTTCACCTGTGCAGTTATTCAGCTTGATAGTTGCTGTGATTCTATTTGGTATATTCCTGTAACAGGTTCTAGGGATATAAGGACAAAGGAGAGACAGGCCTTATCCTTGAAGAAGTTACAGATCTAACCAATCACCTTCACTTCCGGTCCTAGCGCTTACTTTTTACTTAAACATTCCATTCATGCTATTCATTGTTTCTTGGGTGTACGCTACATAGGCACTTGGCTGTCCATGTTTATCTTCACCTGACAATACCAAGGTCTAACTGTGCATGCCAGGCCAGTTCCTGACAGTTGGGGCTGCTTTTCTCTTGCTCAGCTCCAATTTTGTAGGCATTATGCCAGATATAAGGTGGGTCTTTCCTCAAGAACTTGGAGTTTAGAGTTGTGAACAAGAATGAATAAAATGGTATATGAGCCGTCAAAGCCGAGGCATATCCACAGGTTATAGAGACTGAGTTCAGGGCACTGGCCCTGCTTAGAGCAAGCAGCCAGTCGGTGGAGGCTTCCAGAAGAAGATAATGTTAGAGCCAGTCCATAAGGATGAGTAGAAACTGTCCAGGCATATCTGTGGAGGATGGGCTTTCTAAGCTGAGGGAGAAGTAAATGCAGAGGCCTGGAAAAAAAAAGTGTGGGTCAGCCAAGGGTTGCAAGCAGATTAGTCAGCCTGGACCTGGAAGAGTGGAAGTGAGTAGGGAAGCAGCTTTGGGTCAAGGGTGGGAGGGATGGGGCTGGGGAGGGGAGACAGAGGTGAAGCTAGAATGGTGAGATGGGGCCAGATTGCGAAGGGTCTACAAGTCTTCATAATCATAATCCAGAACTGTGTTTATGAATCCTCACTGCTCTACACAGAGCATAGCTTTTCATAGGAATTATAGAGTTGAATCTTTACAGCAGCTTTCAAAGGATTTGAGGGTTTCAGTCCTTTGAATAAACTTTTGGGTAATAAAGCAATCATCATTTGTTCTCCCAGCATGAATTTATGGGGAACTAAGAAGAATTTTAAAGAAGTGTATTTTAGGTCACTCTTGGTTCAGTGTGGCAGCTTGATTGGAGAGAGGAGACATAAGTTGGGGGCTATCACATCGATCCAGGTGAGAGATGGTATGGTAGAAATTCTTAGGACAGGTTCCTAGATTACAACAGTTTCCTCTTTTCTGGAAACATTGCCAATACTATGTGACCTTTCACCCCTTCCCAGTCCTGTGACTATAGTTCATTGGTTCCAGTGGCACTTGGCCCAATGTGGGACTTTTGAATCTGGGGACAAAGAATAATCTGCTTTCTCTGAGAAACTGTCTGACTTGGACTAGATAGCTGTTGGCAGCCAAATTCCCATTTGTGTAGAAGAAGTTGATCTATAACAAAAGTAGATTAAGCCAACAGAGAATGAGAATTCCACTGACATTTGCCGTCCAGTGGCACCCACCCTTCCCACAATGTGGTTATGGGAAATAAATCAGTATCCTTATTTCCTGTCTTCCTTAAGCTAGTTTAAATTTGTTTCTTGTACCCGAAGGAGTCTTGATTCGCATAGATGGTGAATGCCCTAAACTAGGGCACTGAGAGTCTGGTTGGCTGATGTCAGATGTTAGGAAATGCGGTAGACAGAAAATGGTAATGGTTGTACTCTGGAGAGAGTGGTTGATGCTTTGAAACAGTGGATGTGAGGATGGTGTTCAAAATGGAAGGAGTGAATTGAGCAAAGGCAGGTGTGCGGAGCAACCTGCAGGTAGGGACAACTTTGACCGTGGCTGGGCTGTGGGAGGGTGTGGCGCAGATATCAAGAGGTAAGAGTGGTAGTTAGAGCCAGATCCTGGATGCATTACTGAGGAGTTAGACTTCATCTTACAAGATGTGAGAACACATGAAGACATGGTGACAACTGTTAATAAAAATCTCTTACTGGTTTGCAATGACAGAAGTATCATATTCTTAGATATGTGATGTACAGCATAGGGAGTACAGTCAGTAGTATTGTAATAACTTTGTGTGGTGACGGATGGCACCTGAAATTAATAGGATATTGTATGTCCATTATAGTTCAGGGAAAAAAGTATCATATTCTGGAAAATTAGGAAATAAACTTTCTAAAAAAATAAAAATTACATTAATGCCATCAACATTTGATCTGTTTCATTTCAGTATTTAATAATGTATATATTTACAATAGTTGAGATGCTGTGAATATAGTTTTTTTAGTTAATTTTTTCTGCCACTGAATATATCACAAGCATTTTTTTGTCAATATATTTTTTAGCAACATTTGGTGACTGTATATTATTCCACTGTGTGAACACATTATAATTTATGTAATCTCCCATCCTAAGTTTCTCGTTATGAATAAAATTGTGTTGTACATAAAAATCTTTGTCCATGTTTCCTGTGTTTTTAGAATTGATACGTAGGGGTGAAGTTACATAACTTTTTTGATGATTTTTGAAAAGTAAAGTATTATTGAGATACAATTTACATCAAATTGTTTATCCTTTTTACTGTCCAGTTGTGAGTTTTGACAAATGCACGTAAGCTTGTAACTACCACCACAAGCAGAAAATAGAATAGTCCAAGAACTCCCCAAACTCTCTTAAACCCCAGTGTAGTCCCCTCTTTCTCCTCCTTTAGACTGACAACCTCTGATCTATTTTCTGTCCCTATAGTTTTTCTTTTCCAGAATATCATATAAATGGAATCATATAGTGGAATAGTTTCTGTCTTCTAGTCCCCAGAGATAGACTTCTAATCCATGTGCAAAGCACATCACCCTATCCCAAGGCCCCCAAAGTCTCAGCTCATTACAGTATTAACTCAAGAGTTCAAAAATCTCATTTGAATCTTGTCAGCTCTCAAGTTCTAAATCTGATTATCTAGATCAGGTATGAGTGAGGCTCTGGGTAGAGTCCATCTTGAGGCATGATTCCTGTCCCTCTGTGAACCTCTGAAACTCGAGAAATAAGTCACGTGTTATCAAATACAATGCAGGGACAAACATGGGATACCAGTAATTGACATTGCTCAAGAAAAGGGAAAATGGAAGGACAACATTTTTAATTTTGGTGAACTCTGATTTATCACTTTTCTTTTCTTTGAGGACCATGCTTTTAGTATTATATCAGAGAAATCGTTGCTTAATCCAAAATAGTCTTATGTTATCTTCCAGAAGTTTTGTGCTTTTAGATATTTAGGTCAATTTTAGCATATGTATTTCGTTCAAGGTATGCATTGAAATCTGCTTATTTGCATTTGGATGTCCCAGTTGGGTAAAACAACATGCCTTCTTTTTTTGAATTTACATTCAGTAGCAGTAGATGGGCAATAAACACACAATATGATATATTTGCAATGGTGGTAAGTGCCACGGAGAATATAAAGCAGGGCAAAGGGGTGGGAGTGGGGACCGCTGTGGAGGATATGTGAGGTTGTTACTGTGCTACATCACAGGGTCAGGTTAGAATTTCCTAATCAGGGATTGAAGGAAGAGAGGGAGAAAGCCATGTGCATTTCTGGTGGAAGAGATTTAGGCAGACAGAATCCCTGAGGTGGCAGAGTGCTTGGTGTGTTGAAGCTGTGAAATGGGTAAGGAGGAGTGGTTGGAGATGAGGTCACTTAGAGTCGAGACCAAGGTAACACATGGGATTTGAGTTCTTTGAGAAGCTGTTGGAGGGCTTTGAGCAAGGCAGGATGGAGTCCGACTTGGTGCTCTTACAGGAGGGGCTCTTCAGTGAGCAGCCGAGGCAGTAGCCTCTCCTGGGAGCTTGTCAAAGATGCGGACTCGGGCTGCACCCACACCCGTCAGATCAGAATCTCTGACGGTTCGGGCCGGGCATCAGGGTTTTACAAGCTCTGTAGGTGATTCTGATGCATATTACGGTTTTAGAAGCTCTGGTCAGACTATGTTTTTAGAAGATCGCTGGGGCTTGTGGAGCATGGGCTGTGGGGAAGGCAGATGCACGCAGGAAGCAGTTGGGATCTAGACGGAGGTCACAGTGGCTTGGACCAGGGTGGTTGTGATGGAGGTGGTGAGAAGCAGTTGGATGTGAAATATGTTTTATAGGTGAAGCTGAAAGGACTTGCTAATGGATTGAATGCAGAGTGTAGAGGACAAGGTAAGTTCATGGATAATTCCATGGAAGAATGGAGCTGGAGCTGCCATTTGTGGAGATGCAGGAGCAGTGGGGACTTTCTTCTGTTTAGGGGCGGTGATGAGGATGGCGTGGGAGACACATCTGGGATTTGGATGAGTTAAGACTGAGATGTGTGAGAGTCTTGGGAAGGGAGGGGTGGGCATTTTGACAGCTGAGCTGTGGGGCCTTGCTTTTATTCCTGACAGTGGAGGTGTGTTTATACAAGTTAAGGTTAAAAATGATTATATAGTTAATAGTAAATTAGTTTTTTTCCTAATCGCAAATTATGTGTATTTTATCTAATCTGCCTTTAACAGGTATTGGAATAAAGTTAACTACAGCTTTCTGTGAAAATGTCAGTTCTGATATCACAGAGTGTAATAAATTATGTAGAAGAAGAAAACATTCCTGCCCTGAAAGCTCTTCTTGAAAAATGCAAAGATGTAGATGAGAGAAATGAGGTAAGACCACGTCCCCCCTCCCCCCCCCTTTTTTTTCACGCCTAGTGTGGGGCTTGAACTCATAACCCTGGAATAAGGAGTTAAATGCTCTACTGACTAAGCCAGCCAGGCACCCCCAAGACCAAGTTTCTAAAGTTAAATTCTTTTCACAAATATTTGTTGACTATCGACTACTGTGTACAAGGCATTGTGCTAAGAATACAGGTGAGTATGAAATATAAAGTTAAGCTTGGTCAGATTGTTAAAAGGACTTCAAAGGGGCACCTGCGTGGCTCAGAGGGTTAAGCCTCTACCTTCAGCTCAGGTCCTGGGATCAAGCCCCACATCGGACTATCTGCTCAGCCTGGAGCCTGCTTCTCCCTCTCTTCCTGCCTGCTGCTCTGCCTACTTGTGATCTCTCTCTCTCTCTGTCAGATAAATAAGTAAAACCTTAAAAAAAAAAAGTACCTCAAATTCCATACTTTTGGAATACATTTGAACTTAAATGATTGAATATGGAATTTAGATTTATGATTGACTCTTTTCTTTTAGATGAAATAATCAGTACTTGGGAAGTTTGATTACTAAAGTCTGAAGTGTTTCTAGGAAGTTTTAGAGAACTTCTAGACCCAGTTTTTTTAGAAATAGATTAACTAGACAAAATATTTCAAATATTTTCTTTAATGGAATCTTAGTTCTCTTTCTGACTTATTCATTCCACACACTTAGGGATTTTAAAGAGCCTACATCTTTAAGACAGTTAAATAGGTCATGTGTTTTGTTAAAGATAGGGAAGTATATATTTACCATTTTCATTAACTTCTATTAGGTATTTCTATTCAACAATTAAGTAAGCTGTTGACTGTATTTTATCATGAAGCACCATAGTACAGCATTTTAGGGACTAAGAAACTTTTTGTATGAAATTTTTAAGTGTCAAAGTTTGTATTTTAAAAATTTAAGAAAAATGAAACTTTAGGGGCACCTGACTGGCTCAGCTTGAAGAGCATGTGACTGTTTATCTTGTGATTGTGAGTTTGAGCCTCACATTGGGTGCAGAGCTTACTTAAAAACAAATGAATGCATGAATGAGTGAATGAATAAACTTAAGAAAAAACCCCAAAACTTTCTTAAAACTGTATTTTCAATGTAACGTGATTTTTTTTGCCAGTGGATAAGGTGAATGAGGAGTGATACATATATATGTATGTCTGTATGTGTATACATATATGTGTCTGTGTATGCATGTAAAGAGTTTCATTTTTTTTTTCTGTGGGGGAAAAACATAAAATTTATCATCTGAACCATTTCATTTGTGTTCATTCATGCAACTGGTGCATAATGTTGTGAAATATCTCCAGAACTTCAAATCTAAAACTCCATACCTATAAAACAGCACCTGCCTAGTTCTTTCTCTCGCCAGCCCTGGGTAACTGCTCTTCCACTTTCTGTTCCTAGGAGTTTGACTCCTCTCAGTACTTCATAAAAGTGGAATCATACAATATTTGTTTATGTGATGGCGGATTTCACTTAGCATAATATCCTTAAAGTTCAATCATGTTGTGGCATATGACAAGATTTCTTTCCTTCTTATTTTTTAATTTTATTTTTTAAAAGATTTTATTTTATTTATGTGAGAGAGAGAGGGAAAAAACAACAAAGGAGCAGTGAGGAGGGCAGAAGCAGAGGGAGTAGCAGGGAGCCTGATGTGGGACTTGATCCCAGGACCCTGGGATCATGACCTGAGCCAAAGGTAGACACTTAACCGACTGAGCCACCCACACATCCTGATTTCTTTCCTTTTTAAAGCTGAATACTATTCCATTGAATTTTGCTTATGCATTTATCTACTGATGGACATTTGGGTTTTTTCTTCCTCTTGTCTATTGTGAATAGTGCTGCTATGAACATGAATATGCAAATATTGCAAATGTTTTTAAAGTTGTGGAATCAGCAGTTATTACTTATGATTATGATTATTATTTTTGACATAGGATACCTGATTTCATTAAACATTAACTGTCATAAAGAAATATTAACATAGAATTTTGTTAATGCATAGCACAATTTGTTATTGTGAATAACCTTATGAGAGTTAATGATTTTATTGAATCAGCTCCTTTAATTTGCATAGCGACTCTATAAAGAATAGTGCTGTTATTTATCTTGATTTACAGGTAAATGGCTTAATTCCTTAGCTTCCTATTCCAGATACTGTCTGGTAGAACCCAAATTTGAACTCTGTTCTATTTCAGACTGTAATCTGTTTATGCTCTATTGCCATTCTTTGCATTTTCAGAATAAGTTCATCTAATGATGTGCCGATATTTTGTGTTCCTATATGTTCCTGTATGTTTTGGTTAGAGCACAGTATGTTTTGGTTAGGTAACTCTTCTGTGATTATGCGTTGTCAATAATTGTTCTACATAAATAAGAGAGAAAATTTGTAGCTGGAGATTGTTTGTTGTTATAAAGAGCTGCTTATAAGAGTAGTTGTTTTATTAGCATTTAACTGATACTAATAGTATTTATTTTTAAAATTTTTAATATTTATTTATTTATTTAGAGAGCACACAAGAGGAGGGAGGTGCAGAGGGAGAGGGATCATCTCAAGCAGACTAGTGTGGAGCCTGATTTGGGGCTCGAGCTCACAACCCTGAGATCATGACCTGAGGTGAAATCAAGAGTCAGCTGCTCAACTGAATGAGCCACCCAGGCACCCCTGATTTTTTTTTTTAAACTTTTTTTTCTTTTTTTTACAGATTTTGTTTGACAGAGATCACACGTAGGCAGAGAGGCAGGTAGAGAGAGAGGAAGGGAAGCAGGCTCCCCGCTGAGCAGAGAGCCCAATGTGGGGCTCGATCCCAGGACCCTGTTGGGATCATGACCTGAGCCAAAAGCAGAGGCTTTAACCCACTGAGCCACCCAGGCACCCCAGCACCCCTGATTTTAATGGTATTTATATTTAAGTTTAGTATTGCATTGGTTGAAATTGGAGTTTTAAAATAGTGATTGGAAACAACCTGGATTGTTTAGTTATGGCTCAGTGTGAGGGTTGGAGAGAAGGTAGCTTTCTCAAGGCCTTTTTTGGTATTTTGCGTCTATAACTACGGATAAAATGTAAATTTTTTAGAATTCTGTAAAGTTGTATGGATTTTTTTCTTTCTTGCCCTTTAAAGTATTTAATTAAATTATATTAATGTGTTTTATCAATATTGAAAAAGTCTCTTAAAGATTACATCAATAAAATAAAATAATGTGGGGAAAATTGCCATACTGTGTTTTAGCATACAATTGGCTGCCATCAGTAAATGCTAATTTCTTGCCTTCTTTTCTCTCTGCTTTATTTGTAAACTAGGTAGCTCTTGGCCTGTGAATATTCTCGATGATGATGGATCTTTGCCCTTTGTCTCTCTACTTTCCTTTCCTTTCCTTTTTTCCTTCTCCTCTCCTCTCCTCTCCTTTCCTCTCCTCAAAAAGAACAAAGTTACTCTCAGCTGTTCTTGGTACAAGATTATAGTGCTGAGGTTGGACAGTATTCTCCTAGGAAGATGAAATGGGACTTAAAATTCAAGGGGTGCACTTTGTTATGTGCTTAGAAATAGGCTCTAAGGGAAATTTCAAAGGAGAATTTAAAAATGTTTTAGTTTCAGTACAATTATTAGAAGAAGTATATATGCTGCCAAGGGTCATGGTTAATGAGGTCTAGGACATCTGAATAAAGAGAAGTAGGACTGCCTAGGACTTGGGAAGAGCAAAGAGATGCTGAATAGGAAATATTTTTGCATTGTAGTCTTCTGGGAAGCTGAGATAAGTATGAGACCTGTTGGGGGATCTTTGGTTGGTGCAGTGTTTATTTAATGTGTTTTGGCTTGAGATTTTTATAAAATAGGGGTTAAATCAGTTACGTGGTTCTGTGTATTTTGGGAAGCAGTGGACTTGGGGTTTACTGAGATGTGTGGGATTAGGTATGGAAGGGGCCTTTAGTGATTCATTTTGAAGTGGAAGAATAAAGTTGTCATGGCTGTTTTTAAGTACTCTGTCTCCGCAAGTATAGTTATCAGATTGGTTAAGCAAGAATTAATAGAATAAATAAATGTTTTGTTATAAGACCTAGCTTATAAGGTAACTTTTCTTCTATCTTTGAGAATCTAATAAAACTTCATGGTAACCTTTTTTGAAAATTACTTTTCTCTTTGATTAGTGTAGCTGTAAAAGGTGTATCAGTTGAGAATTCCTTGGACTGCATGTAATAGCTCCTAAAACAGTGTCTTAATCAAAGTAAGGTCTGATTTTTCTCATATGATGGCAAACTGGAGGAAGCATTCCAAGGCTGATAGGATAGCTTCAGGATTTCTTCTCAGGCTCTTTCTGCCCATCGCTCCACTCCTCACTGCATGCTGGTCACTGCATATCCGCCGTCTTGCTATAACTCCAGCGTTGCATATGGGGCAAGAAGAAGGAAAAAGACGTGCTGGTTGAGCTAGTCTAACTACTGAGCTGTCCTGGCGACTTGGCTAGAGCAGTATCATGGGATTATTTCCAGCTGCAAGGGAAGCTGAACAATGTGGGTTTTTTTTTGTTTGTTTGTTTTATGTTTTTTTTTTTTTTAGCTGAGCACATTGTTAAACAAAATCCCCTCAACAAAATCCCATCATTCTGGATACTGGAGAGACAACTAATATTTAGTTTTTGCAAGAGAAACTGATAACTACTCAAGTCTTTTGTCTGGCTTGTTTCTAGTTACCAGATTTATACCATCTTTCTTATTTGAGTTATAGGTATTTATGCACATTTATGTTATTTTTTCCCCTTATAGTTCTAGAAGCACCTGTCTCTGTTGAACAATCTGAAATGTGACTGTGACCCCAGAAAGTAAACAGAAAGCTTCTGAGTCTCTGCAATTACTAATCTGAAAACTCTAATATAAAATTCATACATCCTTAGGGCCATGGATTCAGAATAATTTGCTTTAATTTATGTATTATACCGATGACTTAGTTACATCATTTTTTATCTCAGGTGATTAGAAGGGAGAAGGATGCTATAGAAAGTTTGTCAGAGAGGTGTTAGAGCTGGCAGAGGCAAGCTTGATGTAATAATTGATGTCTGTAGTTATGACTCAGTTGTGAACATGATGTTTAAGGTAATCTGTTCAACAAGTAGTAAGTAATATGTGCATTGCTTTTGAAAATAATGGTTATCATACAATATATAATCAAATTTAATGTTTAAGGGATAAACTTTTTCATCTGGAAAATCTATTTGTGCATAATACCTCATTCCATAATGACCTTGGTTGAATGACATATAATTTAGTATCCATTGTTATATAAGAATGTCTGTATTTAATCTGTTTATTTTTGTACTTTGTTTAAAGGAGTATTTGTGTTTAACTCTTTACCTGTATTACTCTTATAATAGCCTCTGTTTTATTTTGTCAGTTATTATAATTTGCTTTTTTTGTATGTTGCCACTGACAGATTTTTTAATTCTTTGAGACTTTACTTGCTCATTTACTTAACTAGTATTTGAGTACCTGTGTGACAGTCACTGTCCTTCGCACTGGCGATACAATATTATTATTTTTGCATCTACACTTATGTTGGTTTTTTCCGTACAGTGTGATATTATTTTCAGGCGTACAATTTAGTGATTCAGCACTTCCATACAATACCCGGGGCTCATGGCAAGTGTGCTCCTTAATCCCCATCACCTGTTTAGCCCATCCCCCACTCATCTACCCTCTGTAAACCATCAATTTGTTCTCTTCATTTTATTTTTTTAAAAGATTTTATTTATTTATTTATTAGAGAGAGAGAGACAACAGCGAGAGACGAAACACACGCAGGGGGAGTGGGAGAGGGAGAAGCAGGCTTCCGGCTGAGCAGGGAGCCTGATCCCGGGCTTGATCCCAGGACACTGGGATCATGACTTGAGCTGAAGGCAGACATTTAATGACTGAGCCACTCAGGCGCCCCTGTTCTCTATATTTTGGAGTCTTTTTCTCAAAAGTTTGCCTCTCTTTTTTGAGAAATACAGTATTAAATAAAAGAAAACAGACATGCTTCTCACCCTCAGAGCCTTTAGGAAAAATGGACAATGATCAGTTGCTAATCACATAAATAAAAGTAATTACAAACGAGGATTAGTATAGTAAAGAAAATTAGAGTGCGTTAGTTAAGGTTCCTTGAGGGGTTGATGTTTGACCCAAAAGCTGAGAGATAGGTGGTAGTTAATTGGGTGAGACAGAGGGAAAACTTTGTGTGAGGGTTCAGAAGTGGGAAAGAGTTTAAGGGTATGTTGGTGAGGAGGGAATGGCACAGAGTAAGTTCTAAGGTAGTCCTGCCATGGCCACTGTAAGTATTTTGGTTCTGATCCAAAAAAGCACTAGAAAACCCCGAGGATTTTATGCAGAGAAACGATGCCATATTAGCAATTTAAAAAAATCACAGATATTTTCCCCTACACTGATAAACACATAGTAAGTAGATGCTTAAAAGAATAATTTGTCTAATTGAACTTAATTTTTGGTGTACATTTTGTCTTATATACCTTAGTATGTTTTAACACCTTCAGTACTATCACTGTGAGCCCAGTGCTCCTCCTCTGTTTCATCGACGGCACTTATGGAAGATGACCGTGTGTGTATCGTACTTGGGGTAGGTGAGTCTTGCTGCTGGAGGGAACCCATCCCAGGACCTGGCCGCCCAGGCCCTGCTGCACTGTCTCAGAGCTCAGGAATTACTGTCTCTTACTTCTGTGGCTCATTCTAGGCACCCAGGCTGGGCAATCGTGGTGTAATGAGAAGAAGCTTTAGTTTGAGTTAAGGTTTTAAGGGAGATCTTAAAAAACGATATACATATTATATATAACACCTGTATTGTTTCTGTTTATTGTTTTATTTTCCTGCCTCTTGCCCTGATGAACATCTTATATATACAGTTAAAATCACATTCTATATCATATTCTATCTGGTATTGTTAGAAAATTTGGTTACCATAGATTTGCTAAGATTTTTATACACATTGTAGGAACTACTTTTCAGAGCGTAGTGTTCATGTTTTACTTATTTTGAATGAAATTGTAGTGCCAAAACCAGACTACTACTGCTGTAGTGAAAACATGTTTCAGGGACGCCTGGGTGGTTCAGTCGGTTAAGCGACTGCCTTCTGCTCAGGTCATGATGCCAGGGTCCTGGGACGGAGTCCCACATTGGGCTCCCTGCTCAACGGGGAACCTGCTTCTCCCTCTGCCTGCTGCTCCCCCTGCCTATGCTCTCTCTCTGACAAATAAATAAAATCTTTAAAAAAATTTCGTTTTCTCTTTGACTTCTATATTATTAGGTGACTGAAAAGATTTCAAAGGTGTTTCTAAATTTAAGAAATTCTGTAAACAACGTTTAACATACTGTTGTGAAAACATAAGTGCGGTCTATCTAACTGCTGTGTTCCATAAAGCCCTGTGTGTCTTTTTTATTCTCTAGTGTGGCCAGACCCCACTGATGATAGCCGCTGAGCAAGGCAATCTGGAAATAGTGAAAGAATTAATTAAGAATGGAGCTAATTGCAATCTGGAAGATTTGGTATATATTAAAAATATCTACTTATTTGTTGTCTTTTTCTTTTCCTTAACTTTGTTCTTTGTTTTTAAGAAGTGACTCAGAATTAGTAGATTACAGTTACTCTTTCAGATCTAGCTTAACTTTGCCTAATAATATACTAAGTCAGTTTTTAAAGGGGTGATGCAGGAGAGAAATTTTTATTTTTATTATTATTATTTTTTTACTATATGTTGGCTAACTGAACATAATAAAAAATGAAAAGAAATAAGACGTTTTTACTTTAAATGAAAAGTTTCAACTCTTCATGTTTTGTAAGTATAGATGGCTCTGGCTGAATAGGAGCACATATGCTTGAGTACTTGTGGCCTTTCTTTAAAAATCAAGGGCAGTAGTTTTTTCTTTACCACATCGTTTCTAAATGTATCATATGGGATCACCTTAGTTTGATAGCCAGGGAACGTGCTCTTAAATATGATGTCAGCCTCTTTATTTCAATTTATAGTAATGGTTGCCAGCCACAAGGATTAGCTTTAAGGTTTCGGTAGTCATCTTTTCTTTTTTTAAAAAAACGCAGTATGTGATTAGACGGGCCGTGAAAAGACTGCCCGAGCGCTTGGGCCCCGCGGCCTGATGCACAGAGACGTTCTTAACAGAGCCCGTGCTGCAGTGTTATTTTAGAGTGGTTCAGAGTGGGTCAGATCATGTCAGTTTGGTATGATCATTTGGTACGTAAACCTGAATTTAGTGCTCCTCACTTTGGATTGTTATTTTTGGTATTGAAATGGTGACATTGGTGACTGTGTTCAAGGATAACTGGACAGCGCTTATATCGGCATCAAAGGAAGGGCACGTGCACATCGTGGAGGAACTGCTTAAATGTGGGGTCAACCTGGAGCACCGCGACATGGTATGTATGTCAGTTATGATATGTTGTTTAATTAGCTGGAATCTTACGTAATAGATATGTCTGGAACATTGTATTTTTGTGTGTGAGGTTATATTATAATAATGCTTTTAGGTTTTGGGGCTGTGCATTGACGACTCACAAGAATGTGTGAAAACCCAGGTGATATAATGATCATCTTTTAGAATACTCTTAGTCATCATTTTGAGTTTATTTCAGAGTTTAAAATTCAGAAATATTATTAAAAACAACTCATTAACTTTCAATGTACCAATGTTTTAAAACTTTATGAGAGAATGGTTTCCTTTAAGAGGAACTTTAAGAGGGACAGTATAGTTTAAAAATATTTTCAGTTGTTTAAAGTTATAACTTTCAGAGTAATATTTATAAATCTATTTTAAAAATGTGATTGTGTTCAGACATGCCATCTATACACATTACAGGTTTAACAAGAAATGATTCTTAATTATCTTAGTTCTTATGTGTTCCTGGCATCTCCTTAAATGTAAAGATGAAGAAAGAGATCATTTCCAGCTCATTTTTTCTACAAAATGTTCAGCCTTTTCCAAAATTAATTTTAACAGTGGAAGAGAGGAAGGAATTGATCTGCCTTGATGTATAAAATGTGTACTACTCCGCTGATAATGCTTTATGAAGTGCAGGCAGTCTGAGTTTGTAAGAAACTGCAGTGTTCTACCATCTTGTACTTACTATTATAATTTATACAGTGTGCTTCCCTCTATAATCTTTTATGTATTCTCAAACTGAATGAAGTAGGTGGTATACTTATTTTATAGGAAAATACAGAATCATTTATATCCTACTTATTTCTGAAAAGAAGTTAAAGTATATTGCTATAAAAGTTGAGGGAGAAAAGATCATGATGTCAGTAACCTAGGCAGAGGATGGGTCGTTGTGGCAGGTGAGAATAAAATGTGGTGTTCTCATCTTACTGGTATATAAAGTAGAAGGGAAGTGGGGGGGGGGTTACCTAGTTCTCAATATTTTATTAAAGGCACCAAACCAGTTAATCAGGTGAATTAATATTAAGTGCCTATTCTATGCCTGGTCTCTTTATGTGCTTTTTAGCTTCTCTGTGGTTAGCTGACTTCTCAGAACAATCCTCTGGGCTAGGGATTCATCTTGTTCTCAGCGCATATAGTTCAGGAAATTGAAACTGAAAGAAGTACCCTTTGCCCAAAGCAGTCAGGCTGAGTGTTGAACCCAGGTCTGCCTTACTCCAAAGGTTTTTCTCTATTGCTTTTCCACATGTATTAATGGGGAGTTAGGAACCATAAAGTACACATTATGAATGTGTCAAACTTAGTAAGATTTGTACAAAATGATCTTAAGCTTTTTTAGTTTTTAATATGTTTATTTCCCCTAAGTAATTACCACAGCCTCTTTTAACATATTTATGGAGTCTTTATGTTTGGCTTTAAAACACCAAAATTGGGGAAACTGAGGGCTGTGTCTCCCTGAATAGTTAGTGTTTAGGGACCCTAACCTCATAGGATTGAGTGGGTGGTAGTAATGGCTGAGCTGTGAGGGAAGGCAGAGTCCCTGGGACCTGTGCAGGAGAGGAGAGTGACCACCAGGGGTTGTCTTTGGTCCAGGAAGAACCAGGATATAACATCTCGAAGTCTAGTGGGAATTATTTTTTCATGTAAGGATTTTTTCTTAAGAGGACCTTTGTGGGTGCTAAACTAAAGGTATTAAATTCTAATCTTTTCATTTTGCAAATTCGGGTATAGTTTTCTCCTAGATTCTTGCATAGGGTGACATTATACAAATTAAAAGGAAAGCATGATATTCAAACAATTCTGGGCAGGCATTTTAAAGATTAAAATGTTGGTGTATGTAAGACTTTATAACAAATGCCAAGCTCTATAATTTGACCTAAATAAATTGTCAGCCTTTCCTAGTCTTTGATGACCTTAACCCTTTTGAAGATTACTCCTTTGGCATTTTATTTTTTATTTTTTAATTTTTTTAAAGATTTTATTTATTTATTTGACAGACAGAGATCACAAGTAGGCAGAGAGGCAGGCAGAGAGAGAGAGAAGGGGAAGCAGGCTCCCCGCTGAGCAGAGAGCCCGATACGGGGCTTGATCCCAGGACCCTGGGATCATGACCCGAGCCGAAGGCAGAGGCTTTAACCCACTGAGCCACCCAGGCGCCCCTATTTTTTATTTTTTACTATTTTATTTTATTTTATTTAGATTTTATTTATTAGAGAGAGAGGAGTGCATGCATGAGAGCGGGGGGAGGGGCACAGGGAGAGGGAGAAGCAGACTGTCCACTGAGCAGGGAGCCCGATGTGGGACTTGATCCCAGGACCCTAAGATCAAGACCTGAGCCACCCAGGGACCCCTCCTCTGGCATTTTTAGGGTGGCTCTCAATTTAGATTGTTTGATGTTTCTCGTGATTAGGTTGAGATTGTGCTCTGCTGGATAGGATAGCACAGAGATGGTGTTCTCTTCTCAGCGTACCACATGTAGGTACATAATAGCAGGCCTGTCACTGGTGATGTTAACCCTGATCTCTTGGTTAAGGTAGTAGCTGCCAGATTTCTTCACTGTAAGCTTACTATTTCCCCCTTTGTAATTACTAAGCATTTTGGAGAAGATACTTTGAAACTATACAGATGTCCTGCTTTTGATTGAACTTTCACTTGTTTTAACATCTACCATGTATCTTGCATGCAGAGTTATCACTGTGGTGTTATAATGGTGATTTTTCTACTTCCCTCATTCCCTATACATTGATTAATTTGAATTCTTCTGTGAGGAAGAGTTCTTTCTCTTTCCATGTCTCTATGGATCTGTATGTTAGATATCTATAGATACATGTACTCTGATGAAGATTTATTTTATTATTTGGGTTATAATTTAGTTCTGTGCTTACTTTTCTGCTCGGGTTGTTCCAGCTTTGGCCATTGGGAGCTTCTGTGCCCTTTTGAGATGTCCTGCCCTATCCTTTTTTTTAAGCCCTTCCTTATTTTCTGGCATCACATACTTCAGGCCCAGGTTTATCTTGTATTTTTTCTGTCTTATTTTCCTAATTATCAGCTCTGGAATCAATCAGTTTTCCAAGGAACCATGGTTTCTTTTATTGGAAAATGGTATTGAGAAACCAGTATCTTGGTTTAGGTGTTAGGCGAGCTTATTGTTACGGGGGAGTCACTACCTGTCGTCCTTCGCAATGGTTAGACATAGAAATACATGTCTGTATACTAACTCTTGCATATACATGCATCTATTTCTGTATTTGTGTGTGTATTTTTTTTTTAAAGAGACCAGGTTGATACTGCCAAACCAATTTGTTATCACCTTTTCCCTTTCCTTAATTTGTAACTCTTTTCTGATGGTGAGAAATCGGGCTCTATTATCTACACAACATATTTACTTATTTGTTTAACTTTAGTATACAAATAAAGCAGTTCCAGAATTGCTAATCAATACTCTGAGAGAAACAGGTTTATCTACTACTAAGTACAGTGTTTGTGTTCAGTTCTTTCTTTAACATTACAGTATCCAGTCAAAATACTGCTTTCCAAAGTTACCTAGGGTTAGCGTCTAAGTAGTTCTGTGATTATGTGATTCGTTTGTGATATAGTTAGATGCATTTGGCCCAGTCTGTATTCAATTTTTTCTTTCCGTATTCTGGTTGATTTTTACATTTGCATACAGTTAAGTTCACTCCTATGGTGTATAGCTCTGTGGCTTTTGACAAGCGCATAATGTCTTGTCTCCCGCCACGTTCTGTACGGAGCGGTTCTACCCCTCAGCGGCACTCCCACCTGCTTCTTTATAATTGTCGCGTCTACCCACTTCTCAACCGTTGGGGACCACTGATCTGTTTTCTCTTTCTACAGTTGTGCCTTTTTCAGATCAGGGCAAGTATTTTTTTAATCTCCTTTTTAGTGATGATGAAAGAGACTGAGAAGGATTAAGTGATTTATATTGTCAAAAAGGAATGTGGATTTAAATGCTGGTTTTAAAAAAACCAAAACATTTATTTCTTCATATAATTTGATGACATTGGTCTTTTTTACTGAATTGCATTATAGCTGAAGAGAAAATTGCTTAAAATAAAAAAGAAAAGAAAATTGCTCCTGTAGTTTAGAAAATAAAATATCATCCTGATCATTCACACTTGGTGAATTCACCCTGGAAATCGTGATCTGCAGATGTCTGCCTCAGCATCCTCTCTTTTTTAGCAGACGTGCTGTACTGGTCTGGGATTTATAGGATGTGTTTAAATGCAGGAGTTGAATATAATTGCTAGAAATCCTCTCTAGAAAAAAATCTAGACTCATGCAAGAATATCTAGGGACATAGAAAGTGTTTCAAAGAAAAAATTTTTAAACAGCCAAAATAAATCTTGGAAATTTGAAAAATCTAACATGAATGGTCTCTATTTTAGTTTCCATGATATAGTCAAAATTTGGAGTAATCACTTGTGGAATTAAGAGATTTGACTTATTTCAGATACTATTGTGTATTTGGGGAGTTTGGGATTTAAAACTATATAGTAGTGTCTTAATACACAATGGTTTATATAGAAATATTCGAAGAAGGAACTTTATTAATGGCATTTTTGTGCTTGGCACAAAATGATAAAAAGTTTTCTCTTCCCCCAACTCTTTTGTCCTTAGGGAGGATGGACAGCACTTATGTGGGCATGTTATAAAGGCCGTACTGACGTGGTGGAGTTGCTTCTTTCTCATGGTGCCAATCCGAGTGTCACTGGTTTGGTAAGCGTTTACAGAAATTTCACTCTAATATAAGTGGTAAGTTCTCTTAGGTAATACTTAAGGCTGGTTATGTTTTATAACCATATTAGATATTAGATAGAAATTAGCTAGGTCTTATTAAAAATAATAATGCAGGATATGATTTCAAATAACAATGAGAATTTTTTTTCTCAAGATAAGCTTATTTCTCAGTTTTTATCAACAAAACGGTAACTCTTAGAGCTTAAATGTTAATTATAACTATATAACCTTTCAGAAAGAGATTTTGAAATCTCTATGTCATATTGCCTGTTTTCTGTGGGTATGCATTCTTACTCTAAACTTATTTAAGGAAAAGGGGTGTTTACCAAATATCCGTGCCATTTTTCTCTACATCTCTTTACGTGATAATACATGCGTTACTACTCTGCTTGAGACTCGATCTCAGACGGCAGGTTGAGAGATTATACTTCTGATAGGGGATATCCTTTTATACTGTATACATATGTCAGATAATCATGTTGTAAACTTTAAATATCTTGTGATTTTATTTGTCAGTTATATTCAATAAAGCTGAAAAAAGGAGAAACTTAATTCAGGTTAATAGAAGGATTATGTAAGTTAATGGAAGGATTATATTGTACCTTTCACTTACTAGTCTTTCCTGTTGGCTAGTTAATCATATTAAATGTTTTAATCTGTAAAAATAAATGTGTTCATAATATATATATATTTAAGGTTGAGTGCATCTTATTAGCTGATTATGTCTTATGAGTATTACGTGTTTTTTTAAAGTGCAGAATGATCTGTAACAATTTTTTAAAATATTACTTTGTGTTACTCCCTTTATTACTTACTTTTCTTAGCAAATGTTTGTTGTAAATATCCACCTAAAAGATTTTTCTTTCCCTCCCTCCCTTGCGTCTTCCCTTCTCATCTCCTGTTCTGTGTGCCTACTTCCCCCTACCTGTCTCCCAGCAGTACAGTGTTTACCCAATCATTTGGGCAGCAGGGAGAGGCCATGCAGATATAGTGCATCTTTTGCTGCAAAATGGGGCTAAAGTCAACTGCTCTGATAAGGTAGGTCGGCAGGATCTTTCCAGGTTCCAGTCCGCATTATGTGCACTCAGTGTGTCTAAATGCAAGGTTTTTCATGTGATCTCATGAGACTGTGCTGGCTAATCTTCTATTGATACATATTAATGTATTTTATATAGACAGATGGGTAGATCCCTTACACGTATTACCTACTGGATGTCCCTCCTTTTTTTTTTTTTTTTTTAACATCACATTCATCATTCTCTGGAGAATAGGGAAGATTCCATCTATTTTCATTATTTGAAGTTTTCTTTTGTAACTCTTATTCCTACCTTCAGGAGGAAGGTAGCTGCTTTCTCTGGATGCTTGCTAGATTGATCTTTCTGAAATTCAGGTTTAGTTCTCTCTCTCTCATGCTCAAAAGGCTGGAGACATCAATCCCTGGTATGATGTGTGAAGACAGCCCTTGGCTCCCTTTCTGCCCTTTCTTCTGCCTTCTGAATCCTAAAACTGCTTTGCTGCTAGACTGCTAAAGGATGTGGGTGCCTAGATCCAGCTGGTTTTAGCCCTTCATGCCTTTGCATGTGCTCTTTCAGTGCGGAGAGCCTCTCCTCCTCATCTGCTTTACTTTCTGTTCGTCCTTCACACTGAGCTCATTTCCATTCGCTTCAGAAAATTTCCCAGAATTTTGTTCTTTTCACTTTTTAAATCCTTAATATTCATCCTAAACACTTAATGAGTATATAATTAGAACTTGACACACTGTGGGTAACTGTAATCTTTTCCAATTAATAACAGTTCAGTGAAATATAGGAAAATAGCCAATAATAAGACATTTTTGATAATTGGAATATATTCTTGGCATAAATTTAAGTAAAATAATATTGCTTAATCTGATGGGAATGTTGGGAATCATCCTTATGTTAATCTGGTTGGTGCTTGTATGGATATATACATATGTAGAAAACCCAAGTAGTACATTTAAGATAGATGTTTTTTATTTATTTATATTTTAGATTTTATTTATTTGAAAGTGGTGGTGGGGGAGGGGCAGAGGAAGAGGAAGAAGCAGACTCCCGCCAAGCGTGGAGCCTCACCCACAGGGCTCAGTCCCAGGACGCTGAGATCATGACCTGAGCCAAAGTTAGGTGGTTAACCAGCTGAAACACCCAGGTGCCCCTAGATTGATGTATTTTATATACTTTATGTAGGCTATGCTCATTTAAAAAAAAAAGCATTACCTAAAATAATAGGTTAACAAGGACTGTAAAGAGACTATTACAAATATTTATCATATGGCATTTAAAAATACTGTATTTGGGGGCGCCTGGGTGGCTCAGTGTTTTAAAGCCTCTGCCTTCGGCTCAGGTCATGATCCCAGGGTCCTGGGATCGAGCCCCGCATCGGGCTCTCTGCTCAGCGGGGAGCCTGCTTCCTCCTCTCTCTCTGCCTGCCTCTCTGCCTACTTGTGATCTCTGTCTGTCAAATAAATAAAATCTTAAAAAAAAAATACTGTATTTGGGACTGTTCGTTAATCCAGAATGGCTGTCTTCTTTTTTTTTTTTTCTTTTCACATTCTTGTTTAAATTCTAGTTAGTTAACATACAATGCAATGTTGGTTTCAGGAGTAGAATTCAGTGATTCATCACAATATACAGCACCTGTGCTCATCAAGATTGGCTGTCTTTTCTTTCAGATTAGTGAGGTTTTATTTTATGTCCAAAGTGGATATGGTTCTCTCTGTTGATGTTTCTGATTTGACACTTTAGTATGATGGTGAAATCTTTGATTTCTCTTTCTGGCCTACTGAAAAATGCTTTATGTGACCTGGCATTCACGTCCCCTCCAGAATCAGGTATTATGCTACCTAGTCTGTCACTCTGACATTTCGAGAAAAGTTTAGTACCTGCTGTGTGCAGTACTCTGTATCTGTACTAAACACAAGATAGAAAAAGTTCCTCGGTCATACTTGCCACATTTCAAGTGCTCAACAGCCATATGAGACCAGTGGCTACTGTATTGGCCAGTGCAGAATTAGAGAGCATTTCCATCAGCATAGAAAGTTTTGTTAAAGCTGTTACAGAAAGGAGGCATTTATTACATGTTTATTTCAGTCTGTAGTCTCATGTAGTTAAAGATCACCATGGGTATTCATACATCTCTTGATTGCCAGACTCCCCAAAGACACAACATTGCTATTATGCATAAAGTGCATTCTCTCATGTTTTTTGGATCACATTCCAGGCGACGGTGCTTTTAAGTGCAGTTTCTAGGGAAGTTTATTTTGTCAAGTTTAGAGGCTGATTTGGGGGTGGTCGTTAAGAGCACAGACTGAAGCAGGCCTGTTGGGGTCATGGTCTTACTCTACCTCTTGGTACCTTTGTGACTTTAAGCCTGTAATTAATTTCTCAGGGCATCATTTGCTATCTGTCAAAATGTGATATTTCAAATTATCCTTATTCTTACGATAAGGATTACATGAGTTAACCCATGTAAAGTAGTTAGAATTATATTTGTCATTTGGTTCTTAATGTTTTTGCCTGTAGTCAGACTGTTGGACTTTAAATTTATTTCACAAGGTGCAGGAAGCATTGAAAGCTTGTTGAAGATTAGAGGCTGTATGACTTTATGATGGAAAAATTGCCACTAATTATAAAAGCTAAAGTTGGTTAAAAGAAGTTTCATATACTGGTTAATCATCGCTTCAGGAGAAAAAAACTGGGGAAAATATGGCTTATCTAGGATTAAAGTTATAATTTGTATAAATAGTAATTTAAGAATACTCAATATGATTTTTATTGAATTTATGTTGAGAAAGTTTCTTTTACCATAGTTCTGATAATAATTTTACATTTTTAATTGTATTTTTGTAGTATGGAACTACCCCTCTTGTTTGGGCTGCACGGAAGGGTCATTTGGAGTGTGTTAAACATTTATTGGCCATGGGAGCTGATGTTGATCAAGAAGGAGCTGTAAGTATCTTTTCTATTTAATAAACCCTCATAATAGAGATATGTTTTTAGTTTTAAGGGAGGGAATATTCTTTCTTAGTATATGTCTAGAACATTTTCCCTAAAGTTCTTAAGTGATACTTAGAAAAACAAGCATTTTCTTTCTATTATCCTGAAAAATATATTATGTTCTAGATAGTATGTACTATAAATATATGCTTTTAAGGATCTATTGCTAGTGCATGTAAATTTTGGGAGGCTAAAACTATAAAGAATATCTTACAGTCATCTTACTATTGATTGAATCAGTATTGAAATACTCCTTAAATCAAATAGTTTGAAATACTATTAATTATGGGAAAAAGTTATGCTCTGTTAAAATACCTTTTCCTTAAATCGCTTCTTGGTCTTTTGGCTAAGATCTAGTGAAAATACCGTTTCCTTAAGATTTTAAAATAATATTGTAATTTTTTGGATATTTTTAGCTGTGACTTATTTTCCTCTCCAATAGATTTAAAATTTTCAAAAATCAGCAGTCAAAACCTAGAAAGCTTAAAAATTGGTTCACTACATCCTACCAAGCAGCAGTTACTAATTCCTTATTGAGCACGCACTGTGCACGCAGCCCTGTGCCAAATGTGCTGGTACTGGAGAAGCCTAGTGGATGGCTTTTCCCTTGAACTTGTAAAAGTATAGTTAAAGGAAATAATATTTATGCATAAGAAATTATTAATACAGAGTATTCTTTGTAAAATTAAATATTATGTGAGATGGATCATGAAGTATTGAGTAGGGTACTACCAGACCTCTGGCTGCTTTGTAACAAAAGTGGACTCTGAATCACACTTGGCTTAATATCAGCTGTTCCTCCTATTTGGTCAGCTCCTAATTGCTGACCTTTATGGAGTATATAATATTTTTAGTGTTTTGTGGAGGAAGAGTATGATTTTTAGATAGCCATGAAATTCATACCTTTCACTTTCCTTTTTACTGGACAGTTTATCAAGAGGATAAGTGGCTTATTTCTATGATTTTTGACTCTCTCAGGATTTTAAAAAGTTATATTATTTTAATATGTCAGAGAATTATGACTCAGTTTGGGGGGCTGATCTAATGACTGGGATATTTCAATAAGAAAACTATATGACATCTCAACGTAGATCAGTTTCTTAGGAAGAGACTTTAATACTTCTTTTGGTAATGAGTCAGGTTCTTCTGTTGGGTGATTTATTGTTATAAATTAGATGTGTAGCTTTTTTTTTTTTTTTAAAGATTTTATTTATTTTAGAGAGAGCATGTAAGCAGAGGAGGGGCAGAGGGGGAGAGAGAGAAAAAAAAAAATCCTCAACCAGACTCTCTGGATCCTGAGATCATGACCTGAACTGAAATCAAGAGTTGGCCACTTAGCCAACTGAGCCGCCCAAGTACCCGTGCATCTCTTAAAGGAACCACTAAAAATGAGATCATTTTTGAAAATGTAGTTTCTAGATCACTGTGAAAGAACACTATATTATACTTTATTGAAATATCCTATAGCTGTTAATACATTGTTTTACTTCAGTTTTTCCTACAGATTTTTATTATAAACAATTCTTTGTTTGATTGACCTTATTATGGATTATTTAACTTAGAATGGGTTTCATTTTGAATCATCCCATCTCATCTCATCATATTAGTGAGAGGGTCTGCTGGCTGTCAGCGAATCCAATTTCAGATTATCGTTTGAAGAGTTGAAGAGTCTTAACTGTCCTCTTGACTCAAGAAAATTAATATATCTTCAGAAACAGAAAATAGGTTTCCTAGCTGGTTTTGGTATATGACTGGTTATTTATATTGGCATTTCATGATTAAAAAATCACTATTAATAATAGGTCGCCTTTTTGAAAACATCAGTTTTATGACTGTGGCATAAATCATATATTTTCTAGATTATACTGATTTCTTGGGCTTGTTTTTGTTTTTTAGAATTCAATGACTGCACTGATTGTGGCAGTGAAAGGAGGCTACACACAGTCAGTAAAAGAAATTTTGAAGAGGAATCCAAATGTAAATTTAACAGATAAGGATGGAAATACAGCTTTGATGATTGCATCAAAGGAGGGACATACAGAGATTGTACAGGATCTCCTTGATGCTGGAACATACGTGAACATACCTGATAGGGTAGGTTACTTATTTGAGTTCATCTTCTGGTGGTAACAGGATGGAAGATTACATTAACTTCGCACACCTTTCAGGATTCTTTGTGTATGCCCTACATTTGTTTTAGTAAAAGATGAATTTTATTTCTATCTCTAAAACTAAGAAGTTACAATGTATTCAATCTTTGTGAAGGGTGCTCTTTTTAATCTTTGTCAAATAATATTGCTACTGAAAATAATATTGCTACTGAAAATATTGTACTATTAGTCTGTAACTGTCCTTGATATCTGTGACTGTAGTGTTTGTTGTTCATGGCTGGTGTTACTCACTTTCCTAAGGCTTCAGCTACACTTAAAATTTTCAGAATTGTGCCTTTTGCTCTAATCGTTTCTCAGAGCTCTATACTTGTATTTCCAACTTTACTTGAACTGTCTGCTTGAATGTCTGATGGGCTCTAAGAGATACAGCAAAGCTGAAATCTTGTTTGGTTCATCCCAACCCTGCTTTTCCTTCAGTCTTCTCCATCTGAGTGGTTGGCATCACCATTCACCCAATCGTTAAAGCCCTAAGTTCTACACATTGGCCTTGATTTATTTTCCCTACCTGCCACATCTAATTCTTCAGCAGGTGCCATTGGCTCTACCTCCAGAACACATCTTGTATCTGTCTACTTCCCTTCCCCTGTTTTAATAGGTTGTTGCCATATTAACTTTTTTCCTTTCTAGAACATACTGATCTGGTTGCTGCTTTGGGACCTCAGCACCAGCTGTGCTCTATTGGGAATGCTGATCTGCATAATCACTATGTGGCTCTCTCCTCATTGTCATTCTGACCTCAGCTTAAGTGTGAGCTCTTCAGAAAGATCTCCAGTGACCCAATCAAAAGTCACTGTCCAGTCACTTTCTCTGATATCACTATATTTTAATTTATTTGCATGCCGTTTGTCTAATTTTTTTGCTTGTGTTTATTGTATGTCGTTTGTCTGTCTCCCTTAGACTGTCAGTTCTTCTAGAGCTGAGAACATGTCTGTCTTGTTTCCTAGTACCTAGAACGGTACGTGGCACATAGTAAGCAATGAGATTTATAACCTTTTATTAACTTACTACTCTGGCACCGCATTAATGCTAACATTCTCAAATAAAATTGGTTTGCTTTGGTTTTGTTTCTGTTTTTAATGTAGTAGTTAAGATACTACACAGGGTGCTGAATTCATTAATCCTCAAGGACTTGCCTCTTGATTTATAACCCATTGAGGCCCACTAAGGATTGAGATGAGCCGTATCTCATGGACTTACCCACTCAAATTCCTACAACTGATTTGTAATTTAGAGTAAAAATAAGTTATGCCCATTGCCAAAATAGGCATTTTACATTTGAAATAGCAGGAAGATACATTTAATAATGATTGTTACTTGGTAAATACAGTTTTAGGGCAAAGAGATGTCTTTATGAGGTAATAAACTTCATCTAATCCTTGTCTGGGGGAATGAGCCAGTCTTATGCACTACTAGCTTAAAATGCCAGATTGCCTAGACTATGGATACTGGTCTGAGAACTACCCTCTCCCTTAGTAAAATGTGGTTATAAACTCACTGACAGCCCTACCCCTACAACTCCCTTTTTTACAATCAATGGCTTTTGTCAGATAGGATTATTCTAGTGGTTTTGTATTATGTGATTTCTGAATGTTCATTTGGTTCATCGACAGCTCTGGTGTCATTTAATTTAATTTACATTTATAATGGGAGGTCGGTCACCTTCAAATAGTATGGCTTATTGTTCTGGGTAACTCCTCTTTTCTAAACTTTTGTCGTGGAATTTCAGAAATTCCTCATTTTGAGGTATAACCTGTCTCTTACTCTAAGGCTAATAATGTCTGGTATTAATGTTAGTTAACTAAAACTTTTCTGTTATTTTGAGATACTTTTTTTCCCAAAAAATTTGCAGAGAAGTATCTATTAATATACGATTAACTTCAAAACAGCGTTTATTTGTTCTTATTATCAGTTTATCCTTTTTTTTTCTCTTTTGTCTTTTTAGAGTGGGGATACTGTGTTGATCGGCGCTGTCAGAGGTGGTCACGTGGAAATTGTCCGAGCACTTCTCCAGAAGTACGCTGATATAGACATTAGAGGACAGGTGTGTGCCTCCCGTGCTGTGGTCCTCTTTGCGCACAGTCAGTTACACGATGACTGACGACAGTACCAGTCTTCTGATTGTTCTCTGGAGACGATTTAGTAGATCCCGCCTATATGAATTTTCACTGCCATTATTACAGAATTTCTCTGTTACTGTCATGTTAGATGACAGTAGAGCATGTTCAAAGCTCATAGTTTTCGAATATGCCTCTCTTACTAGTGTATAAATACATTCAGTCCCGAAATGAGTAGTTCATGCTACTGAGACAGTTGCGGATACTTTGAATGTATACAATTTATTTATTTTCTTTAATATTTTTCCTCTATTTTGTCTTCTTCGTCCAGATGTTGTTTTTCCATCCTTGCCATTTTATCTTTCTTCTTCTTCCCTGTTCTGCTTACCTTTCCAAGGACACCTTGATAGTGACTGTGGACTTTGCTTAAGGCAGTCATAGCTCACAGAGCTACAAAGCTTACTAAGATTAGGTAGACCTCCCCTAAACTTGTGAATATATCCAATATTTCAGCAGCTTTAGGTTAAAAAAAAATCTGTACTTAATAGTCCATTTTGTTGTTGGACAGCCTACATTTCTAACTTAGTTTTCCCTTGAATTTAGCTTGTATCCAAATCTATTTTTGAATCAAACTAATAAATATTATGCCAGATGCTGTGAGGGACTTAACATGAAACCCTTGCCTGTAAGAAATATGTATTTTAGTTAGGGAGTTTTTACTTTGTTTTATATTTATTTTTGTGTTTTTACGTAAACAAAGAGTGATGCCTTTAGGTATGAGATGGTATATGATTGATTGCCTAGTGAACTTACCAATGTAAGAGTCTTGAGGTGGGAAAAGAAGGCATTTAGGAATGCTTTTGAGAGAAGGTCGAATTTGAGCAAAGTCTGAAAGACTGGTTGGATTTAGACAGAGAAAAAGGAAGGCTGGTATTTCAGGCAAGGGTAGTGGAATAATAAGATGAGGAAATTCAAGAAAACAGACATGTGAAAGACTGTACTCCTCAGCTGGCGAAAAGGTCAGGCTGGTGGGGTGGTGGGGGGCGGCAGGGAGCATGGCGTGGGAGACAGAGATGGAGTAGAAAGGGGCAGGGCTGGGGAGGTCTGAGGGCCAGGCTTGGAACGTTGGGAAGCTGCTGCACGTTGTTGAGGTGGGGAACTCCGCCAGGGAAAATCTGGTGTGAGAGACTTGGTGGGGCAGCCCCAGAAAGTCAGTGACTGTCTTTGGCATTAAAATCGTAGTTTCACTGAAAGATGGTTACTGGATCCCCTATTTAGAGTTTACCTAATTCCTTTTTTGTCTGTCAGTCCTGTTTTCCTATGTTGGAGTCACTTTATTTGGTTCTCTAGCTCTCCTTTCAGGGTCTGTTGGATCTATTGGTTTTTGAACTAGATGGGATTTTAAAGGATCAATCAGGATTGGTGTATGGATGCAGAGTAGGGGGATTAAGAAAGCAAAATGTGGTAAAAATAGTTCACCAGTTCACCGTCTGTTTGTGTAGTACATTCTCATGCATTATCTTTTGGAACGATTGGGCAGATGAAAAGCCAAGGGTCAGAATATTTGACTTGTTCAAGGATGAGCTCAGGTATTGACAACTTCCAGTGCACGGCCCAGAAATCTGACCACATTAACAAAAGCACACTTTATCAAGTGCGTGAGGCTGCTGCTTTATATATCAAGTAATATGTTTTCTTAGGCTTCTTTCATAAAGAATTTCTCAAGAGTAAATCCAAGATAGAATAAGGGTTAATACTATTTCCTGTTTTTTGGTAAGATCTATTAATACTTTCTGGCAGAAATGTTAAAAATCACGTTTTATGTTTACAAATAGCAGTTTCCAATATTGTATTTGAAATGAAGTGATTGTTGATTTTTTCTATTGTGTAGGACAACAAAACTGCTTTGTATTGGGCTGTAGAGAAAGGAAATGCAACAATGGTGAGAGATATCTTACAGTGCAGTCCTGACACCGAGATGTGCACAAAGGTATCAAGAACATTTCTGTTCTCCTAGCAATATCCAGTGCCGAATATTAGTACTGCTTATTTTTTTCAGTTGTTTTTTGTTTGATATTAGAATTATACTGATTTTACTGGTAATGATCTGTATTAAATTGAGTAATAATTTTGTATCCTTTCAAAAGTTAGTTATTCACAGGAAAATATAGTGTGTAATTTGTTATGGTGATTAAATACTTTCTAAAAATATAGTATCACCTATTCGTAAATTGTGGACAGGTCATTTTTTCAGATCTTTGATACTTTTATTTGGAATGCAGAATACATTTCCTTTTAAAAGACCAATGTGAGTGGTTCTTGGTTATCCAAACCCATCCCTTTAGTCTGTTTTGCTCAAATCATGTGAAAAATATAAAACTTACATAAGACTTTAGTAATTGTATTTTGGCCTTATGTGTGATAGTTTTCTGTGGGGAAAGTGTACTTGGAATAAGTATATTTGGATTGAATTGGCAGGAATGCTTTTTTTTTTTTTTTTAAGATTTTATTTATTTATTTGACAGAGAGATCACGAGTGGTCAGAGAGGCAGGCAGAGAGAGAGGGGGAAGCAGGCTCCCTGCTGAGCAGAGAGCCTGAAGTGGGGCTCGATCCCAAGACCCTGAGACCATGACCCGAGTCAAGGCAGAGGCTTAATCCCCTGAGCCACCCAGGCGCCCAGAATTGGCAGGAATTCTCAATGAATAAACAGACTTGTGGAGTCACTGCTAAGATACTCCTGTTTTATCTGCTGGAAATGGTTACCAGCATCTTTCTATACTATGGTAGCTTTAGTGCCCTAAGGCAGAAAGTTTTCTGGGATACTTTTTCGTGTGAGGGTGACTCGTTGATAATAAAAAATTTTTTTTTTTTTTTTTTTTTTTTTTAAACCGATGTGTCAGCCACTGTGACCATTTGGGGGTTCTGAGCAGGTTTCTGTCTTCTAATTCAGTGCTGAGCTATGGTCTCTTCCTATATCCCTTAATTTGATTTTGAAAAGCAGTCATGAACTTTGAGGTTTTCCAGAGGCACGCTTTTTGTATCAAATTGTTTCCTATGTTACACACAGGTGCTCGGCTGCACAAAGCACTGAAGTGATGTTGGTAAAGATCTCTGACAAATCTAGGCACTGGCTTGCCTGGACATTTACTGGCCGAGCTGTGGGTTGGTGGGTGGGAGGTGGTGTGAATGGGAAGTAGCCTCCCATGTGCCAATGGTAGAACCTGGGGGATGGTCAGATCAGTGAGGGGCAGGGGACTGTTGCCAGGAATGGCTGATAGGTAGCTGGGCATATCCATTTTTGGCTGAGTGATAGAAAATTACTTTGGTACAAATGATTGGTTGGGAAAGGGAAAGCATTTTCTTGTTAGTTTTTACAGCTATGTCTTCCTGAGAACATTTTCAATATAGACTTGTGCCAGAGCCAGATACTTGAATTCTTACATGTGCACTGATGTGACTTCCAGCATTTATGAGTAAAGCTATTAATCTGGCAAACCTTCTTATCTCTGCCCGCAGGATGGTGAAACACCACTTATAAAAGCTACCAAGATGAGAAATATTGAAGTAGTAGAACTGCTGCTGGATAAAGGAGCTAAAGTGTCTGCTGTAGATAAGGTAAAAACATCTGTGTGGAGAGAACACTTTTGGAAAGGCTGTTGGTAGACTGACCTGTATATTCACTGGACTTAAGGGAGTCTGGTTTTATTTTGTGGAGGGAGAAATGACTTGCTGGGGCTATCTGTGTGGGAGTTTGGTCCTGTGATGTCTTCTTGGCTCTTCTGACAGCGTGCTGAGGAGTGGGCGGGCTTAGGCTGCATCAAATTTTCCTTCTGTTGCTCGTACCAGTACGGTGCGCCGCCGGTGACCACCGTCTGAGGAGGACGCCGCCAGATGCCCAGCTCCTTGCAGACAAATAGGAGGAAAGACTCCAAGGGGCTGGGAGAGATAGACTCAGAGCAGACTAGCGCTAATATCCGCTAACAGGAGATAAAATGTTCTGCCATGTCCTTGCCATAATCCTCTTAGAGAAATGTTCATATTTTCCATGGTAAATTTAACTCTCAGTTGCTTAATACGTCATATAGAAGTGATTCCTGGCTTGATGTTTTCATTTTAAACAGAATTCTTTCTCTACTTCCAATTGATTTCCTCCCATAAAAGGAGTGAATTGATTGACATGTGAAGTAAGAAATAAAACTTTTTCCATCTGAACATGTAAGATTTGGGCTCTCCTAATTCATAATAGATTGAAGTTTGTCCTTCTGTTATTTACGAGGCAATTAAACAAACCACAGAATCAATATGTATTTGCATTTATCAAGAAACAATGTTATTTAAGAAAAAAACAACCAAAAAATCTCTCACCTATTATTACCATGTTTGTATAATTTCATATAAAAGGAAGGAAACGAGGAATGACATAAAGTCGGGAGATTTTGCAGTTGAATATATTTGGCTTTATAGAAAACTTCCTGCATTGCCTTTTTTTTTCATTCTGCCATTGACTCATTTCTGGCTCTGGTCTCCTAATTTGCAAATAAGAAACCACTGGACTAAGTGCCCTTGAAGATTCCGCATGGCCTCGTTAATTCGGTAACATGCCATTAACAAATATTCGTTTCATACTCATTAATAAATTTCCTGGAGTTCTCTGTCTCCATATCCTTTTGTGTATTGCTTTGCCTCATCAGCACATACTTGCTGACAAGCGCACATGATACTTGGAGCATTTGTTCATTCATTCAGCACATACTTCGTGAGGACGGGTGAGGTGCTGTCGTGATAGAATTTGGAATACAAACCTGCAAAGGTCTTGATCCTAGCTCTTCATGGAGGATTTCATCCAGATACATTTCATAATGAGCATTAATGCTATTTTCACCTGGCCTCTCCCTGATCTCAGTTCTGCACACTGACTGAGTGTATTAATGTCTACCCTGCAATTTCAGAAACCTTGTGTCTGGCAGAAATTTCACAGGTGGTATTTCTACCTTCTCGCAGGTTTGGGGATAAGAGATGGGGTTCAGGTGGGGAAATGATGAAATCTGGTTAAGATGTGTTTTGTTTGAAGGCTGATGAGACATTCAGGAGGCATCGGGAAGTGTGGGACTAGACTTTGGGCAAGAAATCAAGCCTAGTGATGAGAATTTGGCACTTAAGTTACCAAGAGATAAGGATTGCATGGTGCAACTACGGTCATCAGTGGGAAGAAAGCTGAGATCAGAACTTAATTTTCTTATGGCACATATCACATTCTACTTTTTAAATTTGCATGTTTCTCTAATTTCTTCCTCTTATACTGTAAGCTGTGTAAGGTCAGGGACTGTTTTGTCTTCCATCTTTACGCACCCCGCACAGTGCATTATATAGAATGAGCTCAATATGTAGTTATTGTGCCATGTGCTCAGGATGGGGAAAGAGAATCTAGAAAAGGAAGAAGTAGACCCAAAGCAGAAGAGGAGAGTCAAAATCAAGGTAAGGTTGTGCCATCAAAGCTATAGGAAGAATACTGCAGGTCATTTTCATTTAGTGTTTTAGAGAGATCAGGGTAGGTGACAACTGAGAATTTGTTAACTTTTTGGGTCATTGTCTTCAAGAGAGATATTTTTGAAGTAAAAAGTGAAGGACACATTGCAGACCCAAGGTCTTTTTTTGTTTGTTTGTTTTTACATGTTTTCATTAGTGTTGGATGTTATTACTAATGTGATTGGGGATTCGAATTAGGGAAGAAGGTAGGTCGATGAGGGGAGAAGTGGAAGTTGAGGAGGGCAGAAGAGGTTGTATTGGCAAGAGATGGATAGATATGATACGAGGGACTCCAAGGAGAAAAGTGTAGGGCGAAGTTTAAGGGCTTCATATGATGGTGGCTGATTGGCAGAGGGTGTGGGAGCGGAGGAGATCATTCATGCTAGGTGGGACGGCAGTTTGGATTGTGACGCCTTCTAGGCAAATGCAGAAGAAAGTTGTACAGTAGAATTTAAATTAGTTGAGGAAAGTGGAGGGACATTGTGGACAATAAATACTTGGGTGACAAGTAGAGGTAGATCCGTGGCCTGGGAGGTGCTGCAAGGAGAAAGCCTGCTGCTTCTCCTTTAGTGAAGAATTCCTTTCATTCATTCTAGAGAAAGAATTCCTTTCCTTAATACCTAAGAAAGGCTAGGTGAGGAACTTGAGAAAAAGATTGCAGAGAAGTAGAAATAAAAATTCAGATTATTTATTCACTCTATTTTCACTCTACTTTCATGAAAAATATGAAAAGTTCAGATTTTTTCATTATTTTACAGAAACTTGAAAATTACTATTCTGTATATACTATATGTAGAGTATATGAAAGTTCCATTTTTCTGTCTGTTTTACAGAAAGGAGACACTCCTTTGCATATTGCTATTCGTGGCAGGAGTCGGAAACTGGCAGAACTTCTTTTAAGAAATCCCAAAGACGGGAGGTTACTATATAGGCCCAATAAAGCAGGCGAGACTCCTTACAACATTGACTGTAGCCATCAAAAAAGTATTTTAACTCAAATATTTGGAGCCAGTAAGTATTGGGTTTTGTTCCTGACTGAGCTTTTAAAAAATGAATGTTATATGAAAAACTAAGAAGCCAGTTTTTGCATTTATCACTTAACTGGGGATTATGGATGTTGAGAAAGTTATTGTTTTGCTGTGGAAAAATATTCCTTCCTGTCTCGATCCCTTCTGCATTGTCCTGTAGCATCTGAATGAGGTACGTCCAGAGTTATCCATCAACTTTTTTTTTTTTTTTTTTAATTTGACAGAGATAGAGAGCGCAAGTAGGCAGAGCGGCAGGCAGAGGGAGAGGGAGAAGCAGGCTGTCCACTGAGCAGGGAGCCCAATGTGGGGCTTGATCCCAGGCCCCTGGGATCATGACTTGAGCCGAAGGCAGCCACCTAAACCAGATAAAATTTTTGCCTCCTTTGAATACCTAAGCACTTGTGTTTACATTTCTTTTTTTAAATACTTCTTTTACTTGACCTTTTATTTTATTTCTTGTAGAATTTTTCTCCCAATTCCAAGTTCTTCAGATCAGGGACTCTTCTTTATGTCCTCTCTAACGTCTAGCATAATGCTTTGAATACTGTACTCAAAGAGTTTTTGATTGAGAAGAATGTGCATGAGTATATAATTATATGGGGTGTTTTGAAATACGGAACAATTTTCTGCTAGATTGAAAAAGAGTTATGTGAGTCTCACATACAACTACCAACAGGAGGTAGAATCCCACCACCTTCCAGTTGAGCTTCTTCCTTACAGGTGGTTTTTAAGTATGTTTCTTTTTTTTAATTTTTAATTTTAATTTTTTTATTAACATATAATGTATTATTTGCACCAGGGGTACAGGTCTGTGAATCTTCAGGCTTAACACATTTCACAGCACTCACCATAGCACATACCCTCCCCCATGTCCACAACCCAACCACCGTATCCCTACCCTGCCACCCCCGCAGCAATGCTCACAAACCCTTTGTTTTGTAGGATTAAGTATGCTTCTATTGTATTATGAGTTTTTGTATTTTAAAATATTTTTTCTAATTATAATATTAGTGCACACTCAAATTTCAGAAATGAAGACATGACTGTAGTAGAAAGCGCAAATTTTCCATTGTCCCCTATCTCTTAATTCGTAACTGTTTGAATGACCCTACAGGATTTTCTGTACATTTCTTAAAATGTTTTATACTGTATATACAGCTTTAAAAATTAATAATCAGGTCATACCATACTGTAAAAGTTTTTAATAATGAACTATACTTAAAAGCTAGTGGTACAGTTAAGCATCTTTGTAAATGTATTCATTAACTCTTGTTTTTAGGATTATTTCTTGGAATTCCCAGAAGTAGAATAGGCAAGTCAGTGGATGCTCATAGTTTTGGGAGACTTTCCCAACGGCTCCACCAGTTTCTTCTGCCTCAGACCACATGCTATTGTGCAGCTCCCCATGATGTGAATACTGGGTGCTGTAGCCTCCTTAAACTTTGCTAATCAGATCAATACGAGAAAAAAATCTCATGTAATTTGCATTATAAAATTGTTAGTTTGAGATCTTTTCATATATGTTCACATGATATTTATATTTTTGCCATTTTTCTCTTTGTATTCTTTGCCCATTTTTCTCTTGAGTTTTTGATATTTTTTTAAAAATTAATTTTAAGTGTCTTTATATGTTAGGGATATGGATCCTGGGTCCATCCTATATGTTGCACCCCTCCCCCCCAGCTTCTTCTTTGTTTATGGTGGTGGGTTTTTTTATTCCCTATCTAAAAGTTATGCCACTTTGTAGTAATTTGTTGGTCTTTTCCTGCAGTTCTGGCCTTAGTATTATATTGAGAAAGAAGGGCCTTCTCCACACAAAGATTAAAAAGTTTTTTCCCTAGTATTTTCTTTTCTTTTCTTTCTTTTTTTTTTTTTTTTAAAGTTTTTATTTACTTATTTGACAGAGAGAGAGGGATAACAAGTAGGCAGAGAGGCAGGCAGAGAGAGAGAGAGGAAGGGAAGCAGGCTCCCCGCTGAGCAGAGACCCTGATGCGGGTCTCCATCCCAGGACCCTGGGATCGTGACCTGAGCCAAGGGCAGAGGCTTCAACCCACTGAGCCACCCCGGTGCCCCTCCCTAGTATTTTCATCTAGTATTTTTATAGGGTTTTTTTACATTTAATTTTTTAATGTTTCAGAAACATTTTTTTAAGGTAAAAGATATATAGAGTTTTCATGTTATTTTTTTTTAAAATGGGTGGTTTGCCCCTCCCAGCACCACTTAACTAACTCCTCCCTTGCTGACTGGTGTGGAATGCCACTTGCACTAATATCTCGTGTTAGTCCTACAGTGCTTTCATTATCGTAGCTTTATAGTATGTTTTGATTTTCGTACAATGACAATGACTCTTTCTCTGTAGTCTTTTAAAATTTTCTCTCAGATATTCTTTTTTTTTTTTAAGATTTTATTTATTTATTAGACAGACAGAGATCACAAGTAGGCAGAGAGGCAGGCAGAGAGAGAGGAGGAAGCAGGCTCCCTGCTGAGCAGAGAGCCCGATGCGGGGCTCGATCCCAGGACCCTGGGATCATGACCTGAGCCGAAGGCAGAGGCTTTAACCCACTGAGCCACCCAGGCGCCCCCCTCTCTTAGATATTCTTATGTGTTCTTCTGCTTTTCAGTGTTGGAAAATTTCCCATAGATTTTGACTGGAGTTGTCTTAAAGTGATAAATTGATTTGGTGAGAATTACTGTCTCAAAGCCATTGAACCTTTCTGCCTGGAGTCTCTTTTTCTCCATTTACTATATTTTATTCTTCGGTAACATTTAATAGCTTTCTTTATGTAGTGAAGAAAGTTTTACATAGTAAGAAAGTATTTTACATAGTAAGTATATTATAGTAATACACATATAGTAGTATACATAGTAAGTATATTGCATAGTATTTTACGTAGTAAGAAAGTATTACATGTATTAATATCATTCCTATGTACTGGTTTATGTTTTAATCATATTTTATTGATTCTAAAATGTACATTGTTTCACATTTTAAACTTTCTGAAATTGGAATGTGTCTTACAGCTGATGGATAGGAGAGCATTGGGTCACAATTTGGCAACATGTTTTTTCTCTCTTGGTTATACATAATAACGATGCATCTTGCAATAAGTAGGCATCTTAAGTTCAGTGAAATATGGTGTTTAAGAATCAAGAATCTTTTAACCTATTTTTTCACACGCGTAACCGTTTAATGTAAGGGTTTTTTTTCTAATTAAATGACCAATTGATAACTGAGAATTGATGTTCCTTTTTAGTGGTAATGTCTGTTTTTAATGTGAGGATATGGCGTGTTTATAATTACAGGACACTTGTCTCCTACGGAAACAGACGGGGACATGCTCGGTTACGATTTGTATAGCAGCGCGCTAGCGGATATCCTCAGCGAGCCGACCATGCAGCCGCCCATCTGTGTGGGGCTGTACGCACAGTGGGGAAGTGGGAAATCCTTCTTACTCAAGAAACTAGAAGGTGAAGGGCATGTTTGTGCAAAGTCTGTATATATAACAAGGCTTCCTCTGGTGTTTTTTTCTGAAGTGAAGCAGGATAGATTTTCATGTATGAGTGTGTGTTGCATGGTTGACTAAATGGGATGTGCTACTCCTTCCTGTTGATCCTCCTCACAGTCATTTGAGTTCTCCTCCTACAACAAAGATCCAGTTGTGTTAGAACACTCTCAAGACCCCTTGGTAGCAGATTTTCTGCATGTGCTGTTTGTTGTTACTTTTAAATTTTAAGTAGACTCCACACCCAACAGGGGGTTTGAACTCAGGACCCCAAGATCAAGAGTTGCATGCTCCACTGACTGAGCCACCAGGCTCCCCGCATTTGCTGTTTATAATCATCCTGTCCAGAGCCCTTCCGAAACCTGTCACTTTGTATGGCATACCCAGCAGCACCGCCTCCCGGGTGTGCCCCGTGCTGCAGTTCCAGAGGGCTCTTGGCTCCTGCGAGAACAGACTAGGTCCTTTTCCTGAGTTGCTCCCTTTGTTAGGAACTTCCTAGACAGCACCTCCCACTGCCACTTTGATTGGCAAAATCTTATTCGTTCTAAAGGGACAGGTTTCAATATTGCCTGTAAAGTTTTAACCAAGTTTTGTTGAAAGAATGACTTGTTCAGGGCTCATCTGGGCTCAGCCCACACGTTTAAGAGCCGTGATTCTCAAATGTGATTGCAGGGAGAAGGGGTGAGGAGGCATGCTACAGAGGCAGGGTGGTCATGTGTAGGTTGAAGACACATAGCAAAGTCATGTGTTCCAGTTTGTGTGTGGAAACAATACCTTGTTGTTTATATAATACAAACCACAAAAAATAACAGCATCTTGACAGATGGGAAGATATGGAAAAGGATTTGTGTGTCCTCGGTATGAAGCAAGAGAGTGAGTAAAACGGGTGGGTGAACCCCTAGAGAACGAAGTTGGGATGTTTGTCTAAAGAGAACATTGGCTAAAATGATGAAGTAGCAACATTCCATCTAGGGCCTCAGTAAGTGCTCAGTAAATGTTTATGTTGAAAGTTTCAGATTGAGTTAGAAGTTGTATTCTCAAAGACTTGGGAGAAGAAAACCAAAACTACACCTGAAACTAATATTACATTGTATGTTAACTAACTGGAATTTAAATAAAAACTTGGAGGGGGAAAAAAAGTTGTTGTATTGCTTAAAAAAAAAAAAAAAGGATTAAGGTTTTCCCGTTTCTCTTTCAGATGAAATGAAGACTTTTGCAGGACAACAGATTGAGCCTCTTTTTCAGTTCTCCTGGCTCATAGTGTTTCTGACCTTGCTGCTTTGTGGGGGGCTTGGTTTACTGTTTGCTTTCACTGTCGACCTGAATCTTGGAATAGCAGTATCATTGAGCTTCTTGGCGCTCTTATACATATTTTTTGGTAAGTTTTGCTTTTTATTTTTTTCAAAAAATAAAGACGATGTTAAATACTTCTTGTTTTATTTAAAATATTATCTTAATATTTTATATTTATGTATCTATATTTATAAAATATAAAATATTATCTATATCTCTCCCGTAAGTGATTTTCATATTTTATTACAAGAGTTTCATAATCTTTTTGCTATTTTGTAAGTTGGCCTAGAGGAACATTGTTCACAGTCTGGCTAGAATAGCTTTAAACACTGGCGTACTGCTCGTTAATATTGAAATAGAACTCTAATTTATTATACTCACTTTTTTATATGTTAATGATTTACTATATTTAGGTCTTTTTTGAAAGTAAGTCTTCATAGCCGTCAGTGGGATGCTGTTGGGCATTTTGATCATCCCTATGATCTTCATTTTACTTAAAAGCAAAGTAAAAAACATCAGTTATAGTCCCGTTCTTAGAGGATATCTTCAGTCATAGCAGAGGAAATAGATTCACTATTGGAGGAACTGGTGACTTCAACAGGTGCAAAAAGTGACAAACCCAAAATTATTTATTTATATTTGAGCCTGAACTAAGTCATATGTTTCTGTTTAAGGCATTATCTTTCTCATTGTGTTTCTTACATCACATTTTAGTTAGTTTACTTTCTTTTTTTTTTAAAGATTTTACTTATTTATTTGACAGAGAGAGATCACAAGTAGGCAGAGAGGCAGGCGGGGGTGGGGGCAGGCTCCCACTGAGCAGAGAGAGCCCGATGTGGGGCTCGATCCCAGGCCCCGAGATCGTGATCTGAGCTGAAGGCAGAGGCCTTAACCCACTGAGCCACCCAGGCGCCCGTTAGTTTACTTTCTACACGCATTCTCCGTGTTGGTGAATAAGCTGAGGAATTCTTTGAGGAATAGCTAGGAAATAGCATGGAACCAGGGAAAGTCATTCAAGCCTGCCTCTCAGTACTTAATATTTGCCAGTGTGAGAAAAGAGGCTGCTTGGGTCATGATTGTTTTGAATAATTTTTTTAAACTGTGCATTTCAGTTGTCATTTACTTTGGTGGACGAAGGGAAGGAGAGAGTTGGAATTGGGCCTGGGTCCTCAGCACTAGATTGGCAAGACATATTGGATATTTGGAACTCCTCCTCAAATTGATGTTTGTAAACCCACCTGAACTGCCAGAGCAGACCACTAAAGCTTTACCTGTGAGGTAAGTTGGTCCCTTTGACAGAAGTAGCTTTTTGTAAGATGAAGCAAAAATAAAGTTTATAATGCTTTCTCAGTGTACGTTCCAGAAAAATATTGGTTTCTTTTTTTTTAGATTTTATTTATTTGTCAGAGAGAGAGAGAGATAGCACGCGCACACAAGCAGGGGGAACGGCAGGCAGAGGGAGAGGGAGAAGCACATTCCCATCAAGCAAGAGTCCCATGAGCTTCTCATGGGACTCAATCCCAAGACCCTGGGATCATGACCCAAGCCAAAGGCAGATGCTTAACCGACTGAGCCACCCAGGCATCCCAAGGCATTTTTCTTAAACTTCATATATGAGAAATAAAATAACATATCCTGGTTAAATAGATTTGAGAAATCACTTTATATTATATCTTCCTCTTGTACGTAAAAGGAACAAAGACACCTCTCCCTAAAAAATTCTGGTTAACTTTGATTTACCAAATTTGATCTGAGCATATCCCACCCTGCCATGACACGACACCTTTTCCATCCTTTGGGAACACTTTGAAGAGAACACAGGATATAGAATGGGGTCCTGGCATCCCCTTGCATTAGCCTGTAATCTTGGCTACTGAGCATGCCCTCTGAGATGCTTTTTCCTCGCCCGTGGAAATAAATTGACTTGCCTATCTAAAATTATCATTAATGTCAAATAGGAAATGTATGAGAAAATAGTTCAGAAAAGGTGAAAAACATATATGTCAAGAATAAAGGAAAGGTAGAGGGCTCCAGAGGAACATCAAGTGAAAAACAATTGAAAGCAAGAGGAATTCAGTAGAAATTAGCAAGATAGTTAAATGCATACTAATGATTAAGAATTTTAAAATTATTAAAGATAAAATGTGTAACTTAAGTTGAAAATAAATAAGCCAAACCAGATGAAACATCAAAACTATGAATATAAGAGATAAAAATAAAAATAAAAACTTAAATAATTAGCATATATGATTAAATATTAGAAGGATTTACAAGTGAAAAGATAAAATGAAAAAGTTAAGAAAACATGCAGAGTAGAATAAAATAATTGAGGGAAATATTTTCACAGAAAATTTATTTTAAATTAATGACACGGTATTTCAAAAAAAGAACAATTAAAATAGCATAAATTGTGCCTGGGTGGCTCAGTGGATTAAAGCCTCTGCCTTTGGCTCAGGTCATGATCCCAGAGTCCTGGGATCGAGCCCTGCATCAGGCTGTCTGCTCAGCAGGGAGCCTACTTCCTCCTCTCTCTGTACCTGCCTCTCTGCCTACTTGTGATCTCTGTCTGTCAAATAAATAAATAAAATCTAAAAAAAAAAATAGCATAAGTCAAGGTCACACAACAGAGTATAGTGTGGTCCTGGACTGTATTTTGAAAACAGTGCTTTTACATACCATTGAGATGAGCATTTAGTTTACGGATGGAAGGGGAGAAAGGAGCAAATGCAGAAGTCCTACCCATTCAGAGAATCAGGATACAAATGATTCAGTTATCTCAAAGATAACCTGAAAAGAATCTTTTACACCTCATTTCTAAATCCTTACTAAATGTTTAAGCTATAAATAAAACATTCTAAAACTTGAGTTTTCAAATGGCCTTAAATTCTTAATGACTGTAGTATCCTGTCAGCGTTCTGATCTCTTGGTTGGTGCCTCACACACTTCGCTGCGTGGCTCTTTCAGTCACTGTGCCATCGGCCACTGCAGGTGGCCGATGCCTTGCCTGAGCTCTGCCGCCATGTTTTACCACTCTGCTTTTCATCAGTTAACTTCATACAACTCTGCTGCATTTCACTTGTGTTATTGCCTTTTCCTAAGACAAGTATGTCTGATACTAGAAGTGGGAGGAACCTAGTTACAAATTCTTTTCCCTCTTCAGAACTTCAATGACAATATTTTAAAAGAGACTTTAAGAAAATGTAGTCACATGATACAGAGATGACATAAGTGGAAATTACTTATTTCTTTAGATATCTGAGTAACACTTTATCCCCCCTTTCCCCCCAAGGTTTTTGTTCACCGATTACAACAGGCTGTCCAGTGTAGGTGGAGAAACATCGATGGCTGAAATGATCGCGACTCTCTCGGATGCCTGTGAGAGAGAGTTTGGCTTTTTGGCGACCAGGCTCTTTCGAGTATTCAAGACTGAAGATTCGCAGGGTAGGCCTTCCTTACTCCTCCTCCTCTGTGTGCATGTGTAGGGGATGAGGATGGGATGGATATTCAGTGCACTTCTGTGAAAACATGAATTGAGTGTTAGAAATTCATATGCCATGACTGTCATGTTTATGGTCTTCTAGATACTTGGTATGTAAGTAATTGGTAAAACCATTTTCTGTCTTACAGGCAAAAAGAAATGGAAAAAGACCTGTTGCCTGCCATCCTTTGTCATCTTCCTTTTTATCTTCGGCTGCATTATTGCTGGAATTACTCTCCTGGCTATCTTCAGAGTCGACCCGAAACATCTGACGGTGAATGCTGTCCTCATATCAATCGCATCAATAGTGGGATTGGCCTTCGTGCTGAACTGCCGTACGTGGTGGCAGGTGCTGGACTCTCTCCTGAATTCTCAGAGGAAACGCCTCCATAATGCTGCCTCCAAACTGCACAAACTAAAAAGTGAAGGATTCATGAAGGTAAGCACTCACGGATCATTAGGAAGTAACTGAATGTGAGTATGCCACCATGACCTTGATGGTGGGGCTTTAGGGCGTGGACTCTGTCAATGTTACAGTGTTGCATTTGTTTTTAGTTTTAGACCACATTTGCCCTTTGGAAATGTATGTTTGAAGTGGGAAAAATTAAAACAATACAGGTTTTTATAAAATAGACTTTTATAAGGTATTCCTAGGAGTTAGGAGATTGTTCCACAGGTCATCACCACCTACCTAATAACACTGGGTTTCCTGCCTGATAAGATAGGCTCCTCAGTAGAGATGGCACATTAAACCACTAAAACATATAAAATAGGACTGTACTTTTAGATTCAAAAGGGACTTCATAGAATATCTATAGCCCCTTTCCTTTGATCAAGGTCACAGGCCATCGGGAGCCAACTGTAAAGTGGTGTTTGAATTTGCATTCAGTGACTTTCAGAGCATGTGATCTCGGCAAATAAGTCACTCAGCCTAGTGTGTCCTTTTGAAGTGGTTATGACTGTGGCTACCTCATTATAAGGGTAAAGGGCTCTAATTTATGTAAAGTCACTTTATAAATTGTGAAGCACTCACCGCAGTTTTACATGGGACCAGAACTGGCTGTGAGGACTTGGGATTTCTTTTCTTCCCGTTAGATGAGATTCTGTCAGGCTTTTTAAGAAATGTGCTTCAATTTCTTACATCTTCAGTGCTTCTGTCCTTTCTGTTGTGCAGGTTCTTAAGTGTGAAGTAGAGTTGATGGCCAGGATGGCAAAAACCATTGACAGTTTCACTCAGAATCAGACAAGGCTGGTGGTGATCATTGATGGACTGGACGCCTGCGAGCAGGACAAAGTACTCCAGATGCTGGACACTGTATGTCTTAGCCATCCTGAAACTTACATTTGTCACATGTGGCAGCCGAGAGGAATGACTTGTGAATTTCTCAAGTGGAATTTGAATAGTACTTTTTCTTTCGTAAAACCAACCATTTTTTTTTTAAGTGCAAAAGCATAACAGGAGTAAATGTCTCATCACAAACAGATTTAAACAATTTTAGCCCAATGGCTGTGTGAGCAAATGAACAGAGTAGCTCTAAAGTCCATGGTGTGACTCCAGCTTTCTTTTGCAGATGATTATGGTTAGAATCAGAGGCAACGGTAGGGAACCCCCAGAATCTGTAGTTTTTGTTGAAGTCGGGGTACATCAGTGGCTCTCTGTGAGGCATGGTAAAGCAGTAGTGTGTAGCTGTGGAGAGACACCAGTGTGCCCAGCGCCTCATGTCTGCTCACAAATATGTCTGTGTGTGTTGATCTTTCCTTTTATGTAGGCTACAAATATCTCAGAATAGGACAGGGTTAATTGTTTTCTGTGGAGGTTTTATCACAGTTTTAATCACAGTTAGGTTTTATCACAGTTAGGTGATGAAAAATTGTCAGATGGTGAACAACCAGATTGAGACCTTAATGAAATTTATTTTCATATGAAATATATTTTGAAAAAAGTAATATTTAAAAAATATAGTCGCCAAAGGATAATATGGATTTTGAGAGGCTCTTTGTTGTTTTGGATAATTTGAACTTTGTATCATAAGTACACATTTTTTCTACCACAGGTCCGAGTTCTGTTTTCAAAAGGCCCCTTCATTGCCATTTTTGCAAGTGATCCACATATTATCATAAAGGCAATTAACCAGAACCTCAACAGTGTGCTTCGTGATTCAAATATAAACGGACACGACTATATGCGCAATATAGTTCACTTACCTGTTTTTCTTAATAGTCGTGGACTCAGCAATGCAAGAAAATTTCTTGTGACTTCAACGACAAATGGGGACATTCCGTGCCCAGATACTGCAGGTAAAGAGTCAGTTCCGCGGGCACTTCGGTTTGAAATAGTTATGTAATGTTTTACGGTGACTCACCTTTTACCTTGAAAAATACTGTTGGTATTTCACTTCTCTTTATATGTCATGTACGACAGAATTTTAATACAGTGGTGCTCTCTCGACAAATTCTTTAAGGGACCCAGGAAGATGCTGACAGAAGAGTTTCACAGAACAGCCTTGGAGAGATGACTAAACTCGGTAGCAGAACAGCCCTGAACAGACGGGTAAGCTGCCCCTTGTTCTGAGCCACGTGTTCTTGTGCTGCTGTTCAAGTAGAGCGAAGGTGATGCTACTTAAATATAAGCTGCTGTAGATGCTGCATTAAGTTCATCCAATATATTTTATTACTGAATTTACTTTTGGCTTCAGATGGCTTTTTAGGAACTACGTGAGCCTGGAGCCCATAGCAACTGTGGATTGCACGGTTGTCCCCCTCCTCTCCTGGCCTGTTCCCGGGCACCCTGCCTCAGAGCAGCCGAATTAGGCTCTCTGCGAGTGAGATTTTAAAGCTCTCCAGAGGATGTCATCCAGGGTGGAGAAGCCCCATATCCATTCCAGGTCAGGTTGTACCCATTCCAGGTGCCCATTGCCACCAGACTATAGCGGGGAAAGAGGCTCATGGTATGAGAAGAGCTCCGTGCGCTTCCTGCTGACCTTCGTCCCTCCCTGATGTCTGTGAGCTCCGTCCCTTTCTTTTACACCCACGCAGTGATTTTGTGTCCTGCCCGGCCATCTGAGTTTCTCCTCGAACACTCAGGTTTTCCCTGCCCTACCCCACTCTTAGAACCCTGTTTTGTACATAGATCGAGGGCATGTTACAAGATAGGGAGATATCCACTTGACGGTACGGGACGGTGAGAGTGCCACTTAACGCTGGGCTGGCACTGGCACTCTTTTCTTTTTCTGGTTTGCTACCATTACGTTTGAGACATTTTATACGTGTTTTCAGTGACATTTTGATGTTTTGATTTTATGTCTCTAACGTGCACAAGTATGAATGCAAAATTATTATGAAAGACAATTGATAATACTAAATTAGGAGGGTATCATTTCCCATTTCGAATTTGTCTCTTAGTAGTCTGGCCTCTTGGGCTCCCTGTGCTTGCATCCACCATGACTTCAGAGGAGAACTCGCCTTTGTTGTGCCTGTTCTTCTTCCGACTAGAAGGGGTGCCTCTAATTCTTACCCATATGTAAGCGTAGTTGTCATACATTTAAAAATCACCTAAACATCAAAATGCTGAATCCTTGAAATAAAGAGTTTATGTACTCTATTATTTCAGGGTCCCTCTGATATTGGAACTCCTATAAGAGTTTGACCTGAATTCTCTACCAAATTTTGCTTATTTATAATCCTCAAGGCATTTAGCTTTCTCTACCTGTACAGCAATAAATCAAAATACATCTGAAGTTAAACCACACCATTGGATGCAGTTGCTGCTAATACTACCTTATAACTGCTCTGTAAAGATCTGCCTCCGGGAATAACAGTAATAATGCCTATTATTGTTATATAATCTTCCTCTTTGACTAACATTTTGGATTGTTTTTGTTGTCATCATAAACATACCATAACTTCTCAAAAAGCCCTAAGTTCTCAGACTTGAAGTATTGGTTCATTCTCATTGTTCTTAAACTCTTTCAGGATACTTACCGGAGAAGGCAGATGCAGCGGACCATTACTCGGCAGATGTCCTTTGATCTTACAAAACTGCTGGTTACCGAGGACTGGTTCAGTGACATAAGTCCTCAGACCATGAGAAGGTTACTTAATATTGTTTCTGTGACAGGTAACTTCTTATAGTAGATAATAAACTTGATCACATTAGGAAAGCAATTCAGTTTCAGAAACAAAAGGATGTACTGTGTTCGTAACGTTTGTACTGCTGTGTACCACTTTTATTTGCATTAAGTATATCTAATAAAACCTACATTAGTTTTGACGATGAAAATCAACCATCGGTTGTACACTATTATTTTTAAAACTCGATGACTTAAAAAATCTTTTATTTCACCTCAGGTTTTTCTCTTTGTATAAAGATAATTTTATGCTAATTTGTATGACTGAGTATAATTAACTTATAATTTAAAATGTTGACATTCAGATTTTATACACCGCTATTGTTTCAGTTTTCAAATGACAGATTTTTTTCTTTTTTATTGGGTTAAGTAAAATACACAACAAAATTTACTGTCTTAACCATATTCAAGGGCACAGTCTGGTAGGATTAAATGGATTCACACTGTTGTGTGGCCATCACTACCACCTATCCCCATAATTCTCTCTGTCTTGTAAAACTGAAACTCTGTACCCATTATATCATAATTCCCCTTTCTCCCCTCCCTCAATGCCTTGCAACCACTGTTTTATTTTCTGTCTCTACAGAATATTACTATGCTAAGTACCTCATATAAGTGGAACCATATAGTATTTATCTTTTTGTGACTGGCTTATTTCACTTAACATAATGTGTTCAAGGTTCATGTTGTAGCATGCAGAATTTCTTTCCTTTTAAAGAATGAGTAGTATTCTGTTGTATGCATATATCACATTTTGGCTTAACCATTCATTTGTTGATGGACATGTGGGTTGCTTCCATATTTTAGATCTTGTGAATAATGCTGCAGTGAACATGAGTGCATCTTAATATTTTCCATGACCATGATTTCAGTTCTTTTGGATATATACTCAGAAATGGAGTTGCTGGGTATTTCTATTTTTGAATTTTTTGAGGAACCTTAATTCTGTTTTCCATGGCTCCACCATTTTACATTCCTACCAACCATGCACAAAGGTTCCATTTTCTCTACATCCTCGCCAACACTTGTTTCTTTCTATTTTTTTGATAGTAGCCATCCTATTAGGTGAGAGGTAGTATCTCATTGTCGATTGGATTTGCGTTTTCCTAGTGATTGGTGCTGTTGAGCATCTTTTCATATACTTATTGGCCATTCCTGTATCTTCTTTGGAGAAATGTTTATCTAAGTCCTTTGTCCATTTTTGGATAGAGTTGTTTGGGTTTTTTATTGTTGAGTTTTAGAAGTTCCCTCTATTGTGGGTATTAATTCCTTGCCATATACATGATTTGCAGATGTTTTCTCCCATTCTGTGGGTTGCATTTTTACTTTGTGGATAGTGCCTTTTGGTGTACAGAATTTTAAAATTTTCATGAAGTTCCGTTTGTCTGTTTTTGTTGTTGTTGTTGTTGTTGTTTATATGCCTTTGGTGTTCTATTCGAGAAAGCACTGCCAAATCCGGTGTTGAGAAGTTTTTGTCCTATGTTTTATTCTAAGCATTTTATTGTTTTAAGTTACATTTAGGTAACCTGATCTATTTTGAGTTAATTTTTATATGGTGTTAAGTAGGGGTTCAACTTCATTCTTAAGCATGTGGATCTCCAGTTTCCCCAGCACCATTTATTGAAGAGACCGTCCTTTTCCCATCTAATGGTCTTGGCACCCTTGTCAAAATCATTTGACCATATACATGGGGATTTATTTCTGGGCTCTCCTGTTCTGTTCTATTCTATTGACCTGTATGCCTGTGTTTATGCCATTCTGTACTGTTTTGATTGCTGTGGCTTTGTAGTCAGTTTTGAGATAAGGAAGTATGAGTCCTCCGGTTTTGTTCTTCTTTTTCAGGATTATTTTGGCTATTCATTGTCACAGATTCCATATGAATTTTAGGATGGGTTTTTCTATTTCTGTGAAAAAGGTCATGGGAATTTTGACAGATTTCATTGAATTTTAGATGACTTGGGTTAAAATATCAATATTGAGTCTTCCAATCCATGAACATGGATCTTAATTAACTTATAATTTAAAATGTTGAAATTCAGGGAAGCCTGGGTGGCTCAGTTGGTTAAGCATCTGTTTTCGGTTCAGGTCATGTCCTAGTGTCCTAGGATCATCCTAGGATCCTCAGGCTCCCTGCTTGGCAGGGAATCTGTATCTACCTCCCTCTGCCCTTGCACTCTTACTGATATGCCCATGCTCGCTCGCTCGCTCTCTCTCTCTCAAATAAAATAAATAAGTAAATAAAATTTTAAAGTTGAAATTCACATTTTATATGCTGCAGTTGTTTCAGTTTTCAAATGACATTTTAAATAAAAATGCTGGGGCACCTGGGTGGCTGAGTGGGTTAAGCCTCTGCCTTCAGCTCAGGTCATGATCTCGGGGTCCTGGGATCAAGTCCCGTGTCGGGCTCTCTGCTCAGCAGGGAGCCTGCTTCCCACTCTCTCTCCTCCTGCCTCTCTGCCTACTTGTGATTTCTCTTTGTCAAATAAAAAAAAAAAAAAAAAAAAATCTTAAAAATAAATAAATAAATAAATAAATAATGCTAACAATAAAATTGGAGATTAGTGCCCTGTGACTGGATTCCATGCATAGAATTCTGCTCTTCACCATGTTAATGCTTACATATAAATTTAAATACATATAAACATAAATATAAATTTAATATGTAAGTATATGTTCCTTTGCATGATATTGAATGGTACTTAGTAATATTGACTAGTGTTAACACTGTTACGATAGTTATACTGGAATTTGCTTTTAGAATAAGGTTGGGGTGCATGCTATAAACTAAACTGCAAGTGAGGTTGTGTCTAATATATGTGCAATATTTTTGGTTATTAAATCCCTTTAAGTGAGGTCTCAAACTTTATTAAATTGATTATGTTCTACAATGGAAATGTTCTAGTATGTTATCAGTATCTTTGTACGTATTTAATAAATATATCGTGAGTATCTTGATATGCCAGGTATCAGTCTGGGTATTGTGGAGATAGGCAGTGAACAAGATAAAGTTCTTGCCCTGTTGGTAAAGACAGAACATATAAAGTCATGTAATAATAAGTACCATAAAAACCTCATCTACCCTTACCCTTAGTGTCAGGATGCCCCTGGTGCTGTCATTGTTTCTTCTCTTTTTTATCTGAACCAGCTCCTTTGGTGATCTCATTTAGTCCCAAAGGGTTACATACCATTTACATGCAAAAGATTCTCAGATGTATATCTTCAGCCTTGTTGTTCTCCAGCTGCCTGCTTGATACCTAATGGGGTCTAATACATGTCTGAGACCATACCATGTCCAAAAGTGAACTCCGGATCCCCTGCCCCAAACTGAATCCATCCATCGTCTCCCATCTCAGTTAATGCAACTCTTTTTCCAGTTCCCTGGGCGGGGGGGGGGGGGGGGGGGTGAGCAGAGAGCCCGATGCGGGGCTCGATCCCAGGACCCTGGGATCATGACCTGAGCCGAAGGCAGAGGCTTTAACCCACTGAGCCACCCAGGCGCCCCCCTCTCTTAGATATTCTTATGTGTTCTTCTGCTTTTCAGTGTTGGAAAATTTCCCATAGATTTTGACTGGAGTTGTCTTAAAGTGATAAATTGATTTGGTGAGAATTACTGTCTCAAAGCCATTGAACCTTTCTGCCTGGAGTCTCTTTTTCTCCATTTACTATATTTTATTCTTCGGTAACATTTAATAGCTTTCTTTATGTAGTGAAGAAAGTTTTACATAGTAAGAAAGTATTTTACATAGTAAGTATATTATAGTAATACACATATAGTAGTATACATAGTAAGTATATTGCATAGTATTTTACGTAGTAAGAAAGTATTACATGTATTAATATCATTCCTATGTACTGGTTTATGTTTTAATCATATTTTATTGATTCTAAAATGTACATTGTTTCACATTTTAAACTTTCTGAAATTGGAATGTGTCTTACAGCTGATGGATAGGAGAGCATTGGGTCACAATTTGGCAACATGTTTTTTCTCTCTTGGTTATACATAATAACGATGCATCTTGCAATAAGTAGGCATCTTAAGTTCAGTGAAATATGGTGTTTAAGAATCAAGAATCTTTTAACCTATTTTTTCACACGCGTAACCGTTTAATGTAAGGGTTTTTTTTCTAATTAAATGACCAATTGATAACTGAGAATTGATGTTCCTTTTTAGTGGTAATGTCTGTTTTTAATGTGAGGATATGGCGTGTTTATAATTACAGGACACTTGTCTCCTACGGAAACAGACGGGGACATGCTCGGTTACGATTTGTATAGCAGCGCGCTAGCGGATATCCTCAGCGAGCCGACCATGCAGCCGCCCATCTGTGTGGGGCTGTACGCACAGTGGGGAAGTGGGAAATCCTTCTTACTCAAGAAACTAGAAGGTGAAGGGCATGTTTGTGCAAAGTCTGTATATATAACAAGGCTTCCTCTGGTGTTTTTTTCTGAAGTGAAGCAGGATAGATTTTCATGTATGAGTGTGTGTTGCATGGTTGACTAAATGGGATGTGCTACTCCTTCCTGTTGATCCTCCTCACAGTCATTTGAGTTCTCCTCCTACAACAAAGATCCAGTTGTGTTAGAACACTCTCAAGACCCCTTGGTAGCAGATTTTCTGCATGTGCTGTTTGTTGTTACTTTTAAATTTTAAGTAGACTCCACACCCAACAGGGGGTTTGAACTCAGGACCCCAAGATCAAGAGTTGCATGCTCCACTGACTGAGCCACCAGGCTCCCCGCATTTGCTGTTTATAATCATCCTGTCCAGAGCCCTTCCGAAACCTGTCACTTTGTATGGCATACCCAGCAGCACCGCCTCCCGGGTGTGCCCCGTGCTGCAGTTCCAGAGGGCTCTTGGCTCCTGCGAGAACAGACTAGGTCCTTTTCCTGAGTTGCTCCCTTTGTTAGGAACTTCCTAGACAGCACCTCCCACTGCCACTTTGATTGGCAAAATCTTATTCGTTCTAAAGGGACAGGTTTCAATATT